TGTCCTGTTTGTTTTTCTTTTCTGGTTCCAGATTTTTGACGTGTCTCTCTTTCTCTCTCTCTCCCTCCTCATCCTACAGGCTCATAAAATGGCTTGGCCATTTCTGGAGCCAGTGGACACCAATGATGCTCCAGACTACTACAGGGTTATTAAAGAACCAATGGGTAAGTGACCATAAGGAAGCAACTGAAAATAAAGACCAAATAGTTTGTCAAGTTGAGGCAATCTAAGTATTTAATCTAACAAAGCAAGCATTGAGAGTGTATTCAACCTCCCAGTGACCCACTTTTGACTCTGACCTACCTGTACAAATTCGTTTTAGTAGTTGACATAAAAATCAGTCTTTATATCTTAAACTTCAAAAGGTAGCTGGCAGCCAGTGGAGCCCTCCAACTCGGATCAAAGCAACCATGTAAATGCGACTTGCGTCAACAGAAGCTGTTTTGAACTTCCACACAAACAAACTGCTAATAAGCTGCTCTGGCCTCTGCTGGGCATCCTGTGGAAAGACCACTCCACTCCTTTTGGGCAGAGCCTGGAAACTCTAGTCTTGCACTCGCCCCTCCACCCCAAGAAAAAGACCTTTTTGGTTCTCACAAATTAAATGAGTATTTGGCCCGTGGGTAGTTTTGAAGGCTTTGGGGATGAAATCTGATGAGAGAGAATAAGGAGGTCTTTGATATTGGCCGTGAGGTTTGCACAGCACATGCTAGCTGGGTGTGGGCTTTGAGTCAGATATGTTTGCTTTAAGTGCAGCCCACCAGCAGCCGTACATTACAGCTACTTTTGGAAAGGTAAGCTGCTTAACAGGGCTAGTGTCGCTACTGCATTTTTGTAGTGACGGCATGAGCCATCTTCATCAAAATAAGCATCTGAGAAGGACAATGTGTTCATGGTATTTTAGCACTATATTTTAATTTGTTGTCAAACACAAGGTTTGCATTTGTGTTTTTTGCATTGACTAAAAGGCAAAAAATGATTGGAATTCTTGACATCCAGTGTGCTCCCAGTTAATTGTGTTGATTAATCCAAAAGGATATGAAGACTCTGTCCTCAGGAATGACATTGGTCAGAATTTGGAAAGCTGAGCAGAAAGAGGTTAAATCTGGCAGGATTAATGGATTTTTGCAGTTTTTTAGAAGTGATAAAACATGTACTCATGAAACATAATTTAATCTCTGTCAACCACATGCACTACAATTAGTAAAGCATTTATGTAGATATGTGGAGCAGTATTATTTGGGAGCTTGATGGATTGACCTCTGCATGTGTGGTGTTGAAAGACTAGGATTCAGTGTGTTTAGTAGTATTTGTATAATATTGTATGTGCATTGCCCCTTACTGTCTCTTTGTTCCCAGATCTTTCCACGATGGAGTTGAAGTTGCAGAAACACGAGTATATCAAGCTGACAGAGTTTGTAGCAGACATGACCAAAATATTTGACAACTGTCGCTATTACAATCCCAGTGACTCACCCTTTTACCAGTGTGCTGAGATCCTGGAGACCTTCTTTGTCCAAAAGCTCAAAGGATTTAAAGCTAGCAGGTGAGGCATAACAATGGGTTAATCATCTTCTATGTTAATTTTGTACTTCAATTTCAACTTTGTAGTCTCTCCTTGTCTCATCCACAAAACATCTGTTCTTTACTCATTTAAAGTATATTTATTTGTAATTGTAAATGTTTTGGCTTTTTATTTGAATGGTGTCACTACTACATTTCTTTTAAAAATAACTGCCTTTCAGATCTCTTTGCTGCAGGTGCTAGTGTAGTTGTAGCATGTCCACCTTTTGTTTGCTTGTATTTTGAAATGCTGTGAGCGTGTACTTTGCATCCTCCTAGTGCAGTGCTTCACCTGCATGTATTGACTCCATCCATTCTCTGTTTCCTCTTTTGCAGATTGTGATGTCTAAACTCCTAGGTGCCTGGGGTCAATCTTAAAACAGACTAATTTGTTATCCCGGATGTGGCTGTTTTATTTCTGTCAAACAGCCCCCAAATCTAGGAGCAAGTGCATAGGTCATGCCACACTCAGGGTGTGATCTTTTTTATCAGTCAAAGCAAAAAATAAAAATTCTACTGTTCAATAATGGCAGCCATGTTGGTAACACAAATTCATTCAAGACTAAGTATTTTCTTACTTTGAAAGATGACTGATATTATGTTTGTTACATTAAAACATGTAAGAGTATTGATTATGTCAAAGACATCTATGAATTACTCATAATTGATTTGTTTTATTAGGCACAACAGGCTGCGGTAGAACATTTTACCTCATTTCCTAGCCGTTTTAAGTATGCCTCTTTTATTGGCTCCTTTCATGTATTATATTTTATGTGCATATTTCTTTTGTGAAGGACTATTTTTATTTTCTTAAAGAAATAATGGTAACATTTGTAAAGATAGAGAGAAAATCTAGTGTAGCTTTCCTGATTTGAGGGCAAGTGTCGATTCTAGTTCAGATTAACTTCTAAATGTAAATACAGTGCAGGTTGGTTGGACATTGCGTACATTTACATCACATTTCACCAACATGGCTGCTCGGTCTTTGGTCTGACCCACTGGCATTCAACAAATGTTTGTTTTTATTTTCTTTTGTATCTCTAGTGCATATTTTGTCATAATGTAAAGCTTTTAATAAAAAAGGAACTACCAAATGATCCAAACGGTCCCTCATTCTCTCTCTGCCTGTTTCTGTAGGTCTCATAACAACAAACTACCATCAGCAGTCTCTTAGTCCACTCAAAATCTATGGCTTAAACCAGCCCCATGGTTTGAATGTGACTGAAACGTCTCATTTCTTGGGAGTTGGAAATGCTGACGACAAAGTCTGAATGGGTGTCAAATTTACAGCTCTGACCAACTGGACCAACTGCCAGCCCCATGCAGCACCTTGCTTGGAGTTTTCAACCACTCTCCTTTGCATCTGAAGTCAAGAATCCAGATCTTTCACTCTCCATGAGAAATGGCATTCAGTAACGTCTCAGTAACGTGGCAGCAGCAGACTTTAATCATGTTTTACTCAGGCAGAATTTGTAGTTTTTCTACATCGTACAGTTGTTCTTCCTTTACTGTCATCACATCTACATTTATTCTTCAGATATACACTGCTCTGTGGGAGCACTGCTGAATATTGATTAGTTCATCATCATGGTTTTAGTAAGATGACGTGATTATTGTGTATTCATTATTCAAGACCAAATATAGATCTCTTTAAATGGGTAGACACAAGGGATTATCCTAAACTTGTGATGGCTGGATGTTAAAGTCGTCGGCATTTCTAAATGTGCTACGGTTTGTAGTGGTATATGACATGAGATCCTAGAAAGCAACAGTGAACAGCTCTGTCTGACTTTTGTAAACAAAAACACATTCAAGTGTGTCCTATGTTTGCAAATATGTGCTTTCTTTGGTGAGAATTTGTATAGTCCCATCACTGTAGCCTACTGCTTAGTTATCCTACAAGATCAACCTGAACAATTGCAAAGCAGACCTCACAGACAGGCTTTTGGCTATCAAATGAAGAACGTGAGGTCATGGACAAGCCCTGCTCTTATCAGAAGCTCTGCCTCTTCCAAAGTGTTTCATTAAATTTGACAGATTGGCTCATGTCTGTCTCAGCTCGGAAGAACTGGCCCTCAGTGCACGGTTAAGTAATTGGATAATAAGACTTCCTCTCAGCATCTCTCAATTTATTTTGTGGTCTGTCTGGGGTGATGTGCTGTTGAAAGGGTCAAACTAAAAAGTCTTTGTACAACTGGGTTTGTATGAACATTTTATAGCTGCATTTTTAGCATATTTGGGAACATTTTTTGTAACGTGTCATTTTAAGTTTTGTAGAAGGGTGTGGTTGAGTCAAGGTTATGCTTAAAAACTAAACTTGTAATCTAAATTTGTTTTGAGTTGAGATATGATGTAGCTTTCAGTTTTTGTTTTTGTAACCCCATGTGTGTCATCCACTTTTTGTAAAACTTGTATATTACAACTAACGAGAAATGTTAAATACAGATTTTTAGAGTCGTAGAAACATTTATTTTTCTCATAGAACCAGCAGCTACGTTCATGAAAATATTTAACTATTTTTCTTTTAAATCAGAATAGGTGAAATTGCCCTTTCTTCGCTGCGTATTAAATATTTTGAAAGGAAAAATAATATTACATTTTTTATTTATAGGTAGCCGGTTATCCTCAACACCTTCAATTTATGTTATATGTTATAGTTTTATTTATTTATGAAAACACATAATTTGGCCCATTTGATAAACTTGAACAAAATCCATAAAAAAATGTTTTAAGTGGCAGTCATGAAGAGATTCTCTTTTGTACTTGATGGGATGATTCACCATGTAAAATAAAATGTTTTGGACGCTCTGTTTTTAAAAAAGAAAATGTGTTTTATATGTTTTTTAGCATTGCTTCACTGACCAACCACTACAATAATCTAAAGAAATAATGCTGAGGGTTAATGTACTCTTTGTGTCAGCCCCAATCCCTTGTCTCAAAATACTGCATGGGGTTGATTATGCATATGGGTGTAGATGTGCTTAATGACCTTTCACCCCACCTCATGTCTCTGAATTTGACCTGCAAAATCAAACCACAAATTGACTCCAGCGCAGACCATCTCCCACAGCCCCACTCCCCCTCCATTTGTGGCTTTGGGGATCGGTCTATCACACGGGAAACCACTTGGAAATCTTCCCACCTCGCAGTCTTCACATCTTTGGCTACAAGAATGTCCCCCCGCTGTGATCGTAGCTTCCTGTCCGCCTCCATCTGTTCCCCCCAGTGCTGATCTCAGATAGGCCTGGGAACTGACTGCTTCAGCTGACAGACAATTAAGATGAAAAAAATGGAAAAAACTCAAAAATCGTCTCCCTAAATCCAGACGGAGACTATGGTAGTTACAGTGTAATTATTGTGTCATATGGTCACAACAGCTCATCTCATGCAGTGTTTGGGAAAATGATAATGATTCACGCTACAGATAATCCTCATAGATAAGAACAAAAACACATTTTATTTTCAAAAATGTGTATAAAACAGTGCAAATCACTCCCATCCCAGGTCCAACTACAATCAGGATAACAGATAACAATCTTTTTATATAATTCCTGGTTTGGCCATGTTGACATTTGGCATCTGGTAGTGAGCTACAAAATTCCCAAGATTTCAATTCCAACTCATTCCCCACTAGGGTCAGAATTAATTTATGGCTTAGTCCACTCATATATAATTTACTCTCTTTTGTTATTTAGCCAGGCCTTGTTTGAAGTTCCATGCGTCCTTAATATTATGAAGACATTAATAATGTTATTCACCCTTATTCTTCGACCTACAACATCATTTAACTAAAATGCCCCTTCCACTTAACTGATGCTACGAGGTTATAGAAACTTTTAAGGACACTTAAATAATATATCCCTATATTTTGTAAGTTATTAAGAGTTTTGTACAAGTATGTAAAACAAGACAGTGTGGGTCGATTTCATGTACCAGCCATGAATAAACACATTTTTTTCTAGAAATAGTAGTGGGACAAGCTTACATCCTTGAGGAACAGACAAATGAAAAGGTGCATGATGATATAAGAGTTGTCCATTATAAGTCGATGTATTTTCCCTCATATCTTCTCCTCTGTCTCAGTCACTGTGAGGCTAGTTATGACCAGTCCTATCAGCTTCAGTGTCTCTGGCCCTCAGTGAAGGGCAGCAGTCTGTATAGTTCACCTGCACCTGGAGCGGGTGGCGTCGACAGCTTTCTGATGTCTTCGTTTGTTGAACCTTTTGATGTAGTTGTTGCTTCGAAGCAGACCATCTCCAGGCTTCAGTTTGCCCCCAACAAGAGCCAACAGGTCAGAATGAATGTGGCGCCTCCGGTGATAGATCTGACCCATTATAATGTATCTGGTCCCTAAAAACATAACAGTGAACACTAGTGAAGAAAAGTGTGCAAGATGTGTATTTATCTGTGACTCAATACAACAAAGCCAATAGCCAGGACAGCACCAAATTAACACCAAGGCCTGCCACAATAGTTACTATAACGACTTCAACAAGTATGAACGTCTCAACATTTGAGCTGTTAAGGGTCAAAGAACTTCCATATCTATGTCTCATCAACTAATTACTAAAGAGTTTCATTGTGCTCTTTAAATTTATTTCAGCTCATCTTTTATGAGCAAGTTTATGAGTATGTATGCAAGAAGTTTACAGTCAGTGGCAAAAATTGGTCTCTGATATTACCATTTAATAGCAATATTTATTGTTGAAGGGCCTATCAACACTCCCAAACAATATTCAGTTAACCTAATATTTACATATTTAAGCTTTTCTCTACTCTAGTATTCACTATACAATAGTGTAATCATTGTTTTTTTCTGTAGTAACCCAGCAGGTAATTGAATAATTCCAAGATTGGTTGTATTCTTTTGGCTATTGTATCTTTATGAATCTTTTGTGTGCTTTTAACAAATATGCCTAAAACTGTCCATTTATGAAATTATCTTAGTTTATCCAGGCTTGGGACATGCACAAACAGCACACTGATGTGACTATTAGGACTAATGTGCTCATTATATTGTTACACTGGGTTAATATGCACTCACCAAGTTTGATATCTGGACAAGGTTTGCTGCATTTGAATGTGTCCACAACCAGAAGGCGGACTTTAAAGAAGAAGCTGTCCGGGGTCACGTAGAGGCGGCTCATTTTGTAGAAGCCATCACTAGTAACCATCAGTGTGATCAGACGCACTCCTTTACGCAGCACGTCAATGTCATGGACAATCCCATTGATGGCTGTGACAGGACAAACAGTGTAGGGTTAGTCACTCACTGAAGACTGGATTTGAATCCTTGCCAACTCAGAAATGTTGGAACATTGTAAAATGCAATAAGAAAATGTAAGGTATATTATGTTACTTTTCTGTAAGGGGTGCTTTTCTTTATAGAAATGTCTTTGCCTGAAATGTTCCACAGTATGACATTAAATGGACTGTCTAGCATCTATTTCATTACAGGTGTTTTTATTGCTCAAAAATTCTTACTCTCCTGGCAACAACATACACTTGTCTCCAGGAAATAAGTATAAGGATAAGTTAACTGCCATACTGTGGAACATTGTAAGTAAAGCAACATCATCTCTATTGAGGTGCCACCAAAAAAAGTTACTGCACCTTTAAATTGGGTAATCCCAATAGCATTTTTGCACTGACTATATAAACATTTTCTTTATTTTCAGTATATATTCAATATTTTTGTTTTATTTACATTTCAAACAGTGTCCCTCTCTTGTACATACCAAATTCGCTGTAGCAGTAGTGTTCGCGCTCGTCCCTCTCCTTCCTGCATTCACTCAGGCAGAAAGCATCATGTGTGAAGTCTGACTCTAGAACACAAAGAGAGAGAGTGAGAGAGAGAGAAAGACTGTCTGCCAGGCTTCACCATGGAGCCAGACCCCCATTTTACTGTCACTTCTAAAGACAAGGTTGTCATTACAGAAACCCAGATGCTGCATTCCATATTGTGGGGTTATTAGGGGGAGCTAAGTGAGGGCTGCTCAACATCTTAATTACCCATTTAAAATGCTCAATGCATGGCTTTTGATTGCTATCACTGTGAAATTTCACATCAGTGGCATGTCTACGTGCACATCAAAATCTAATTATTATCTGATTTCTGGACATTCAAGATTACTTAAATGACATGTAAACCACAAAATCTGATGTGAATGATCAGAAAGAAATTAGATGATTTTGCAGCTTATGTGTCATTTTAATAGTCAATGAGAGTGTGCAGCCTCTGTAACTGTAACTGCAGCCTCTAAGTGAGAGCCATAGTGCCTGGGGAGGTTGTTGACTAATTATATAATGTAAATGTGGTTTCAATAATGGGATAATATCACTATACCATATCTTCAGTTTAAAAAAATACATCTTGAATAATCGAGCTTAGGCATACTGTGTTGCATTGAATTCAGTAACTATTTTGGTAAATTAAAATTTTTACATTAATTTCAGATAATTCTTTACTTCTAATGATTAATTTACTTATCTTGGTTGTTATTGCTTTACATATGTATCAAGAGGTGTCCGTACTCTCCACTATGGCATTAATAAAGTTATCTTAAACAGTTAATGATCAGGTACACGGTGATTTAAGTGGTCATTTTCGAGCCTTGTAAATACCTCTTCTGAGTACATCAAAGTGATAGAGGAGGCTGGAGGAGCGGCGGTTGTACAGCACAGAGGGACGGCTGTTGTTTCGGCTCACAATTCCTGACTGATAGATACTGGACTTGCCCGGACGGTTCTCCTCTGGGTCCATCATCCTGCGGTTTGGGGGGTCTTTACGTGGGACACTAGCTGGAGGTTCAGGCTGAAGAGGTGGAGGAGGAGCTCTGGCTCTACTGTTGGGGTGCACTTCATGCTCGCTGACCTGGGTTGGGCTTGTGCTGGAGAGAAGGTCCTGGTTGGATTTTTGTATAGTTTTGTTGGTGACAGCAGCTGTAGATCCTATTACTGGGATTTTTGGAAGCAGACCTGCACTCTCTCTGGTCTTCTCACTGTTGTGCTCAATCAGACGATCCGTCTTTAAACCCTTCTTGCTTTTATTGTGGAGGTTATGGTGGCGGGACAGGGGAACCAAGTCACTATGTTTAGGCCACACCACAGAAGGCAAAGGGTGCAAGGTGAACTTAGACTCGCTTGTTCGGCTGCTCTTCTCTAAAAGCTCATTAATGGGCAAAGACGGCTCCTTGACCACCTGTCTGCTCTGATTGATCTGAGCTCCTTCCACAAAACTGCTCGGACCCTTTTCAACCACTGTGTACAGCTCTGAAAACAAACAATAAATGTAATTATAAGTATAATTATTAGACTAGCAAATTTAACTTTCTTTGATGTGTACTATTTTAAATTCCTTCTACGCAACTACACAACTGATCTACATAAACACTATAACAGATATTGCATTGGTAACAATAAAGAGCTATGCTTGTGTCACAAAATTGCATTAAATACTCTACTTACCCGTAATGACATGTTCTTCTGAGTTAAAACAAGGAAACGTCTGAAGTAGAAGAAAAACAAAAATCCTTGCCATTGTGTTTAGTGCATGTGCAATGTACCCACGTCTGCTACAACGCAGGGTTTTCTTGGATTTTATACTGCTGTCTGATGGGATGGATGGGAGGGGCGTGGCTAAATTCACACAGCTATGGCATTCCTTTCATTCATAAATACTATTTCAAAACAGATGGGATGCAACCGTAAACTTTGACTGGTGAATCATTTTAAAATGGACTTGGAGTGGATTGAGTTTTAGACCTTTTAATATCATAGGTATCCCATTGTCTTTTTTTCCCATTTCAAACGTAGCCCATGTTGAATTTTTCTACAAGTCAATATTACAAGTTGAACTAAACTAGACTTTGCTGCCCTCCAGTGGCCAGTTAAAGGTACTTTTTAGTTTCCTGTGACGCTGTAAATTTAGCCCGCAGCAGTATGCTATAATAAGAAAACTTCACCTCACTGGTCTTAAAATAGTCTTTTAAAAATAATCATGTTCACAATTTAGACATTATGCAACTTTATGTCAAATTACTTGACCAGGGTTTACCATACGTGTCGAGAGTAAAGGTAAAAACATGTTTATTACCTGGAGACAAATGGGCATTTGCTCATTCAGCTGTTTTGTAGGAAAAACAAACTGACTTCGCTGTTTTCATTGCACAGTGTTTTGACTTGTACCTATTTTACTTCTGGAATATGAGGGCGTATATAGGACGGGACGAAATGCATGTATATATCGCGAAATGGTTGCTTTAAGATTCCTCATTGCTATTTAAACAGCCACACTGTAAAGACATGACTCCTGAACTCCTAAAAGAAAGTTAAATACGACCCAGATGGGACTCGAACCCACAATCCCCAGCTCCGGAGGCTGATGCCTTATCCATTAGGCCACTGGGTCATTACGCCGCCTATACTACGGAAATACGTCATAAAATCCTAAGATCAAGATTGTTTTGTTCTAATTGTTTTTTTCTATGACAATACCTTACTTGAGACACAGGTGAAAGCAATCGGCAGAAACGCAAAGCGCGGTTAAAATGCAGCACCAAAGCGACGACAGGAGCACTTAGCAGACCCAAGCAACCAGCATGCAGCCAAACCATGCACGCCCCCAACACATGTCCAACGAGAACGCACCGCGCCGCTTTTTTCTCGCGAGATTTCACTTTGGTTGCCACTGACAACTGCAGAGGAGTTTTGTTATTTTTTTCTAAAAAGGTGGCGCTGGGAGCTTTTTGGACCAATGCGGATCGAGAAAACTATCAGGGCGGTCTGTGCTAGACGTCAGTCATTTGAGAGAAAAAAGATACAGGATCGTCGGAAGGTAAGCACATGCTCTGAAGAGAAAGCACAATCCTAAACACTATCTAACGCTATAACGGAGTGTTCTTTTAATGAAATGGTCAAACTGAACGTTTGGCCATGAACACTAACGTTTGAAGCCTTAATTACTTCTTATTACACGGGAACAGACGTCTTGCTCCGTAGTTGTTACACATGGTCTTAACAAACCGGCTTTGCTCTGGCCAAACATTTTGCTATCATAATTCTGTCTTTAAAAACACTACCACTCTTTGCTAGCAGTATTTCAAAATGTCCAGTTGAACTGACTGATTGTTAAAAATGTGATCAGGACCTCTGTATTGGATCGTTTGTGCTGCTCAACGGTCAGTAATGTCAGCTGGCTGCGACAGCGGAGCAAGACTCTCCCAGTTCAAAAACAAGGGTAAAGGCCCAAATGTAAGTTATTAAAGTTGTCTTTGGTCGAGAATGAATAGCCTCATCTCTTTATTTAGCTAGCATTATAATACGCTGTGACTCATTGCAGGAGCTGAGGCGCAGGAGAGCGGAAGTGAGCGTGGAGCTCCGAAAAGCTAAAAAGGATGAGCAGATATTAAAGAGGAGGAATGTTGAAAGCCCTGTTAATGAACTTGCTGAAGAGCAGGACTCAAATGGACAGGTAAAGTTCTGCACATGCTGTAAATTGTGAGGATTAAATATTAATATTAATATAAAATATATGCGGGGATCAACCATTATATAGCCTACATAAACCCTAATAAATACAATACAATACAATACAATACTACAATAAGTGCCTACAACTAGTAATAAACTATAAACACCATAAACTATAAACACCAGTTACCGTTTTTCTGTACCAGTTAGTTTTGTGCTTTACAATAGGTATACAAATAAATGTGGTGTGTGTTATTGTACTGTACTATAATTTATAATGACACCTTTTTTTTTTTTTTTTTTTAAACAAATATAGCCTCAGTGGCCAGTTGAGCAAATTGTGGAAGGCGTATACAGTGAGAGCCTACCTTATCAGCTGCAGGCAGTACAAGCTGCCCGGTAAAGTAAATTCTTTATTCTGTTTTATTTTGCCCTTTTCTTTTGTTGAATAACATGCATACTTTTTTCTTTCTAAACAGAAAACTTCTTTCAAGAGGAAAGCATCCTCCAATTGACAGCATAATTAAAGCTGGCCTTATACCGAGATTTGTTTATTTTCTTTCATTATCTGAATGTCCTCCAATTCAGTTTGAGGCCGCATGGGCTCTCACAAACATTGCCTCTGGGACTTCAGAACAAACACGAGCTGTTGTGGAAGGAGGGGCCGTTACAGCATTTATTAATCTGGTGTCATCAACACAACCACACATCAGTGAACAAGCCATCTGGGCTTTGGGGAACATTGCAGGTAGTGTATACTGTCTCATTTACTTTTCATTCAATTTTACATAGCAATACTTAACATTTTTATATATATTAATTAGGCGATGGGCCTAACTTTAGAGACCTTGTGATCCAACACAAAGGTCTTCAGCCTCTTCTGACTTTGGTGGCTGTTCCTGATCTCTGTGTGTACCCAGTAAGTATTATACTGAAAAATGAGAGTGCTCTATCACTGTAGTAAGAATGGCTGAAATATGAATCATGGTAATGATGTGTTTTTGTTTCTGCTTCAACTGTAACACATTTACACCAAACTTCTAGGCTGGTTACCTGCGTAATCTTGCCTGGACTCTATCCAACCTGTGCCGGAATAAAGACCCCGCCCCTCCTTTAGAAGCAGTGGAGCAGCTGCTTCCAGCGCTTCTCCACCTGCTTCATAGCAATGACATAGAGGTGCTGGCAGACACCTGCTGGGCTGTATCTTACTTGACGGACGGCTCCAATGAGAGGATAGAAGTGGTGGTGCGTGCTGGGCTGGTGCCCCGCCTGGTCCAACTTTTAGGTTGTGGAGATGATGCCATTATGGTATGGATTTCAGTGTTGACAATATCCCTTGATACTCTATGTCCTAAAAAGTAGTTATTGCTGTTTTTTCTTGTTAAAACTGTATAGACACCTGCTTTGCGATCACTCGGCAACATTGTGACAGGGACAGATGAGCAGACCCAATGTGTACTCAATGCAGGTGCCTTGTCTTTGTTCCCTCAATTACTCCGTCACCACAAGCCCTTCATCCAAAAAGAAGCAGCATGGGCAGTGTCCAACATTACTGCTGGCAAGCACAGCCAGATCCAGGAGGTTATATATGCCGGCCTGATACCCATCCTCATAGAAATCCTCAGAAATGTAAGAATGTAGGCAATATTGTTTTATTTATAGTGCATGTTTTTATTCAATTTAAATTATCATTCTGGTGTCTGTTTTTGTACAGGGAGAGTACAAGACACAGAAGGAGGTGGTGTGGGCGGTCACAAATTTTACAAGTGGAGGAACTGTGGAACAAATGGCTTACCTTGTCCAGTGCCATGTGCTGCCAGCGTTAGTTCAACTATTGACTTCAAAAGATAGCAAAATCATTTTGATCATCTTGGATGCCATCTTCAATATTTTACAGGTATCTTGGAAAAAAAACAAAAATAATGTTCTGTGCACAGTAAGATGCACAGAACATTTAATCTGCGGGCAGCAGATTAAATTCATGTATTTTTGTCTCTTTATAGATGGCAGAGAAAACGGGGGAGGGTGATAAACTCTGTTTAATGTTTGAGGAGTTTGGTGGGCTTGAAAAGCTTGAAGCGCTGCAATGCCATGACAACGAGGCAGTCTACAAATCGTCCCTTAACATAATCGATCGTTTTTTCACTTTAGAGGTAAGTTTTCCTTCTCCTTAGGTTGGTTTAAGCCAGGGACAGGATATCTTTCTTGGTCGCAGGCCAATTTTTCTGCTAGTCAAACAAGAGAGTACTATACTATTTTTGCAAGTCACATATATACCGGTACTCTACTCCTCAGAAGGCTTGGGTGATCTCCCCCAGAGGTTAAAGGAATCAAGTCATTTTAGAGTTCTAATAGAGTTCTTTTTATTAGAATCAACTAAGGACTGGATTTGGCCCATGTGCCTGAAGTGCATATTATTAGTTAAGTGGAACCTTTGAGTACCTTGATTATATATATATATATAACACTTTCACATTACTTTAATTCTATTGGAAAAAAATCGCTCAATGCAGCAAAGTTACAACTTACATTCAGTAGATCACAAATGAGACCTTTTCTATCAGTTATTGTGAGTTATCATTTTAGCCAAATATACCATTTGTGAAGATTTTTATTTATGTTGTCATTGTTTTAACCTACCCTATGCATTTGAAATATTAAACAGTCCAAAATATGTAAACGTATGCATTAACACTTGTCTAACATCTAATGTTGCTTGTCTTTAAGAATGAAGATGACGGGTCTCTGGCCCCTGAGGCAGCAACAGATGGATATGCTTTCCAGGCACCTCAAAACCAAAGCACTTTTAAATTTTAACACTACTACAGGCTTTGTAATAACTGTAATTGGTATACTGTTTGTATTTTTACTATTGGAATATTATTTGTTTACATTTTACTAATTGCAAATAAATGTTAATGGGCGTTTTAATTGAGTGTTTCCTCAGGCCAGCTGTAACAAGAAACTGATATATGGTGCCATTTTGAGGGCAGTTGACCATACAAAAGATATGCTTTGTTGAATTGTTAACTGCTATGACAATGGTCTTAGCTTCTTAGCTTTTCATCATTCTGAAACCCATGGATATTCCAAAGTACCAATATAACCGCTAGAGGGCATCCATTCATCCATATGCAATCATAGCTCCATATGACTTACCTGGCCAGACAGAACTACGCTTTGAGGCAACTATATGACCATGACCCTCAAAAATTAACTCTATTATTTTTCTTTAGTGATCTTGAGAAATGTTTTATTTCTTAGAACGTAAAATATATTTACCTCATCGCCAACATTACAATGCGTAATTATCTAAAATGTATCGCATTTAGCAATTTTTTTCAGTAATTATTATGTTGCTAAAATACCTAATGTTGTGTAGAATCAAATTTTTTCAAGAAAATAAATACTTACACATTTGCCCAAGAGACTACGGCTATGTGTTTATTTGCACGTCCCAGTAGGACGCTTTTATGTTGACAGGCTGCACCGGGTGTGTGCTTTATTTGCGGTGAGTCCGTCTGCGCTTTAGACGCGGCTCTTTAGCATCACGACCAACTTCAGACTGAGCAGCGCGGACACTGTGGAGCCTGTGCGGATGGAGGGCAAGACTGTTACTAGTTTTTTTTAAACTGCACCCTTCTTTCATCACACATTTTTAATTGGGATGTTGATGGTTTGATTATTCTGAATGCGCCTCGCAAAGAAGCGACGTTTCTAATGACGTGATTACATTTGATGCACACAATCAGCGTGATATGCTATGGTGTTTCTTGGAGCTAATCCGAAGCTAACAGCGCCAGGGTTGTTTTGGGAGCTACGTTCTTGATACACCTTTTATACGTATACATGAGTCAAATATTTCTTGAAATATTGTCAAGCTGGAATACACAAGGGAATGTCTAACCAAGGAGTGAGGAGAAATGGCCCAGTAAAACTGCGATTGACAGGTAAGCCCATTTAAAACCCGTTTCGTCTGTAGCATGTTAGCTTGTTAGCCAACCATGCTAACTAACATTGGTGCAGCTGCACTATGACGAGTTGGACTCTTAGGATTTGCCTCATCGTTATTTTATAGCTGCTTTAAGCACTTGGATCACTGGTGCATGTATGCTTCTGTTTTGACTGGAGATGTATTATACTGAAATTGCGACTGCGACTAAAATGTTCTATAATTGATTTAACTTGAGTCTACCTTGCAGAATTTTGCGTCTTCAATAGCTTCACAACGGTGTATTGTAACTAGCATGGTCGGTCGTATCATGTTAATCAATTAATTTGCAAGTTTTTGACTCTTGCAGCCATCTAATTGTAAATGTATGTAATTGTACTATACATTTCCATAAGTCCTACCTCCGTGATAATAGAGTTTTGATACACTCTATAACAATAAATAAATAAATAAATATGAATATATAAATATAAATATATATATATTCTGACAATTGAAGTAATGCATCATACAAATTGAGACTGTAGCTTCCAAAAGTAATTCTAAATCACTGTGAGTAAAACATCAAATGAATCACTTGTTTTCCCAGGAAAAAAAACAAAACAAAACGAAACCAAAAAAAAAAAAAAAAAAAAACTCAATACAGTCAAATATATATAATAATGACAATTTGCCCATACTTTCAAACATAAATGGTCTTACCCGGTCTACTATCCTGACCTGAGTTTTCCCCCTTTCTGCACATGGAGAATGGTTTTAAAGAAATGCTGCAGTGGTCTTTAAAAGGAATGCCAGGAATGTAATATCTCATAGAGGATGTATGTGTGAGTGTTTCCAGTTCACAGACACATTCTCCGCTTGCAGGGTCAGTCTGCTCTTCTGCTATGGCACTGAGACACTGTACAGGGTCTTCTGGGTTCACACTGGGATCCACTCTCATGCATTAATTTTACAAACTGTAGTAATGATTTAAGTGTCTCAAAGTGCGATCATTTAGCTTTCAAAGTACATTCAAGCTGCATATATCTGTATCTTCTCACACTCTCTCACGCTCTCACTCTCTCATATTACTTTTACATTTAGATAGCAGATTTACCCGATTATTTCATGTGATGTAACAATGGAACAAATATTTTTTTTTGTATTAAGACTCCAAAACCGACACAGTCTTGAAAAAAATATGTATATACAACCCTTGATGAGTGCTCATGAAGACTTCATTTTGGCTTTGATAATTCTTTGTTGATTAATCAAGGAGTCTATAATAAACCATTTTGTTGGTTTAATCAAATCCAGTAATGCATGTTTGATATAGAAAGAGATACAACTTTTCCCTGATATAAGTGCTATATCTTGTTTTTACAATTTATTTTGAACTTCGCAGACCCATTCTCACTCCGTTAATCTTCTGCTCTGCCTCTGTGGCTTCACTAAAATCCCATCACCTTTACTTCAAGCTTTGGTTCTTATCTGCAGCACGCTGTCACAGCGGAGCCTTTTTATCCGATCCACTTCCTCCATTAGTGACTTCTGGCACGCAGCTGTAGCAGTGGGGACTGATGGGAAAATCATCCCTGGATTCTTCCACTGCTACGCAAGGAAACCTTTCTTTACTGTCTCTTTTACAACAGCTCTGTGTTGTTCTGGAAGCACAATTAGTCTGAATTTGCACTGAGCTCAGTAAATGTTATCCAACTCCCGCAATTATTTAATTTACCCCACACATGCACACAATTTCATGTTGTTAAATAAAAAAAGGAAATTTAAAACATGTTATTGTACATTCCACACAGCAGCATTAACATTCCGCTGAAGGCATAAAAAGTTTTATTAAACTAATAAATGAATCCAGTGCTCACCCTTTGATACAGGGATGGATGTGCATTGCATAAACAATGTACATTTTTATCAATTTAGTTGTACACTTAGTGTCTGTACTACAAGACATAAATTGCAAAACTGAGAAATAAATCAATTAATTGATTTATTAATTGATTTATTAATTTAATAATTAATAAATCAATTACTCTGATTGCTGGCCATTGTAAACACGAAATTCCAAAGCATTTTGTTATTTGGCACAATAAAGACAAGGTGTAAAGACCCATATTTATCAGAATTGGTATTGTAGACATTGTATTTTGTGATTCTTAGCAATGCCCAGCTCTGATATTTTCTTGCATACTGTGCACCCCTGGTTCCCAGGTTTTAATGATTGGTTCCTTACTAATGATCGCTGAATCATATTATGTCATATTGTGGTGTGTGGTCTGTTATGGGTCCTAGATGTATTAGTGCAGTGGCCCTTTAGTCGTTTAGGCAATCAGTCGAGTCCACTAAATACCAAAAGTTTTGTATTTGTCAACCTATCATTTTATTTAGATTATAAGAATTTATATGGTACAACAGCAGAAATGAGAAGTTGATGAGTTAGTTGAAGATTTTATATTTGGATATTTTAAAAAGGCAGATTAAACCAATCACATTTTTAATCTGTCTTTGTATAAATACATTGATTCCTAGTACTTTTTTCTGTATAAAAAGCTGTTTTTGCCTAAGCTCCCATGAAACTCTAGTCTTGTTTTTGCAGTTCGAGTCAGCTTTTGTCATGCACCCTTTATAGTCACTAATCAATCAGCAGGACATGTTTTTCAATTGAGAATTTCTTTACAGTGCAGCCCTAAAAACATATAAAGTAGAGCCCTACCGATATATTGGTGGGCCGATAATATCGGCCGCTATGGGCACTTGGAGACATATCAGCTATCAGCCTAAATCTGGCCGACATGGGACGATAGTGCACGTGGGCATGTTATACCTCGTTATAAATCTTAGACTCTGAATATTATGTCTAGTTAATTAAATTTACAGACAGATAAATGCCCTAATATGTAGCACCGCATCAATATTTATCTGCGGAGTAATTTGTCTGTGTGCATGACGCCGCACTGCCCCTTAACGCACCCCCAGAGTCACATCACTCACGTGTGCTTATTCCATGTGCGTAACTGAGGCGCTGGCTTTAAATGCTCTTTTAGACTGATGCACGATACTTACTATAAATAAAAGTGAACTTCAGTGCAGGTTAGGTCTAGAGCTTGTTTTTACCAAACTTATTTGTGAAAACTTGGGATCTGAGAGGAGCGTGTACGAGCTGTAAGTGTTGTATGGTAAATGTGTCGCTTTTGAAGTTACTTTTTGGTGTTTCTCATTGGTTAGCTATTAGCTGCTGTAGCTCCACATACACATAAACAGCCTGTTTTCTAAATGACTGTAGTGGCTGTACAAACGTTACTGGACACACATTGATATGTAAATGAGCTGTGAATAGAGTTGTGAATGATAAGCATTTACGCATAATTAATTACCACGGCACGCACGCATTTACCACTAAAGACTAATAGCAGTAGTTACTTACTTTCTTTACTGGCCAGAATGTCATGCAAAAATGCCATTAGGCCGACCTACTGTCTTTAAATATGTATGTAAAAAACTGTAAAGAGGCAAAATAACCCAATTTAAAATCCTGTAGACCTAAGTTTTATAATATAATCAACTGAAGATTTACAATGAATTTTTATATCTCCAACTCCCATTTTATTGGTATCATATCGGCCACAAAAAAAAAAAAAAATTTTAGATAAAGCACAAGACTTTCTTCCCTTGATTTACCTTTTTTTTTTTTTTTTTTTTTTTTTTTTTTTTTTAAACCATTGTGTTATTGGAGTAATATATATTTTTAATGGTTACAACCAGCTGATGATTTAACCTTGAGATATTTAACTTTGTTCTTGCAATGTGACTACATAAAGGTTTTCATGGTATTATTCATTATGATTGCCTTGTTTAGTGACAGTGTTCAGCCCAATCAGACACTCCTTTTTAGTCTGCATTCATGTTTTTCTTTGGTCTGCTTTTCACTCCTCAAGATACGGCTGATAGATGGTGCATAAAAACTAGATTAGTTTGTGCATTTTGTTACTCTTTCTCTGCAGACATACTGTGTCAGCGAATCTTTTCTATAACAGTCAGGTCCCGTCTGGCAGCATCATGATGTTGGCGACACACTGTAAAGGGGGAGGCAGAAATTAGTGCTCCAGCGGGCATGTTTCTTTTATGAATTAATTTTAGATCAGTATTACAACTTTAAAAAGTCAAAAATCACTAACACATATTTTATGATTTCTGGCAACCAATTTAACAACACGTGCTAAAACGAACCTGTAAATGTCATCAGACATATCAGACAAAAGTGAAAGTAAAATAAACATTCAGAAATATTACTTTATACACTTGTTTACAAGATAGGCATTCACAATATTATCAATCATTTTACATATTGCCTATGCCTACTCCTCTAATGTTCTGTGAGCATTTTGTCTGGGTAGATCTAGAAAACAATGTATCACCGAACCTCTAAGCCCCAGTATTTGCTCCTTTCCCCGCTCTTTTCCAAAATTAAGTTTGTGCTTTTGTTTTAAAGTTTTTGGCGTCACAGCTGCAGATTTATGAGGATATAATTCCATAATTTGGATGAAAGGGAACACAGTCTTTCCTCTTGGAGCTAGCTCTCTCCTCAGCTCATGTTTCATGAAGCGGGGAACCCCCAGGATTCCAGCGCCTCATATTAGACTGCCACTTTTTAGTCAATATTGTTTAGTTTTCCTAATATCTTCAACAGATGTAAACTGTCAAGTCATCTCTCAGTGTGTTCATACTGGCCAGGTTATTTGGCAAAATTGGCAGTTCAGATGTGATTAGAGAAGGCCTTACAGGTCTTCGTCTTCTTTTTTGTTATTTAGGTAGTTTGTCCATTTAGGTTGAACTGTTTTGTGTGTTATGTTTGGATCTGGTGGCATCAGGTCGTTGTGAGCAGGAAGTCGGAAAGACTGAACACAGCATTGCATAACTTGGCTGCTGTGGAGGTGAGCATCCGTTTGCACAACACATTGATTTTCCAGCAGTTATGGAGGATTTCCCTGCACAATATTCACAATTCCTGACACATTTCCCTCTCCAAATCTTTGACTTTGATATGTTTATATCACTTACTAATTAAGTAAGCATTTACTATGCAGAATGACAAATAATGACTAATAAAATCAATTTGAACAATAACATGGCATTGGTAAATGGACTGGGTCTATTCAGACACTGCAGGTGAATAAGAAAATCAGTATCAGTTAGAAACCCTAAGGGGAAAATGCCTTATTTTTTACATTTACAATAAGGCCAAAATTGCACATATTTGGGATCTATAAATCATAAGAACTGATAGAATTGATACTTTAAAGGAACTGTATGTAGCATGCATTGCGTGCTTATTATTTTTAATAAAGGAAATTACATTAAAATTACATAAAATAATGTCTATATAATATAATATTTAAAATATAATAAACATTTTTATTATTTACATTGTTCTCCAAAGAATGCCCTTGCCCTCTCCATCTCCTCCCTGTGTCCTGAGCCCCCCCCCCCCCCCCCTCGATTTCTCTCTTTCTTGAACAGGAAGCCCCTCATCCCTCTTGTCTTGTCTCTCTTTCCTTCCTCCATCGCTCAGCCCCGGATCTGGCCCAGACTGGCGACAGACAGCACTGGCTCCACTTCATGCACTGTTTTCTCCTCATCTCTCCTCAGATTGGGAGCGCTGCACAAATGCATTTCCTGAAGCTGTGAAAGCTTGTGAGATTCCAGCCTTGTGATTACAAGAAAACATTACAAACTATCTGAAACTGTTATTGGAATGACTCGTTTCTTTTGTTTATATTTATCTGTTAAATGTGCTGGTTTGGTAATGGCTTTGTGCAGTTGGAGCCTGAAGGGAATCAAATTAAAAACTTTGCCACATGTTCCTTCATTTAGTGTCCTGTGATAAAAATATATTTTTGACTGGAATTGCATGTAAACCTTACTTAAAATGCAATATTGACCTCATAAATAAATATGAATACTTTGGAAAGACATGTATTAAAAATTTATGGCAGAGCATTGTGGATATCATTTTACTCTTAATTAAGTGATTGATTATTTCTGTATTGATCACACCGTCCCATTAGAGCTGATGTTTTCTCTTTCTCTTCTCTTCATGTTGGAGCCTTGTGTGTGTGAGTCTGCTACAGCAATTTCATTGGAGGCACTAGCACTGACTGTGTTTTGTTTCCAGCGTGGGAGAAAGGGCATCTGTGATTTAGGATTTTTACAGGAGAAGAGGATGGAGAGGTGAGACAGAGGTGATGTGCCGTGTCATCCCACGCCTCGTGCACATGTACACTCAGCCACAGCAGGAGCAGCAGCAGCTTTGTGCATCAAAACAAGTGGAAGTGGAAAAGGAGAGTGCAGTGTTTTAGTGGTGGGCTGTTCGGTGGGTTCAGTAGCACTGGAGCTCCAAACATTCAGTTCAATACACAGTGGAGAAGACGTGCCATAATAGTTTAGGTACAAATCTAAATTACAGGGTTAGCAGTTTTTTGCAGAATAATCTATGATATTTTGTTGTTTGCAGAGGAAATGATGGTACTTAAAAAATTGCAGATTGCGACTGGTTAGTTGCATTCATTCAAATTGTGACATTCTATAACTAGACTAGAGCTCTGGGCAACGTGGCTAGCCAGAACCAAACTGGATGAGTGGATCTGGAGTCTCCCTGATTTCAGAGGGTGTGATTGACAGGCGGATAAACTAATCATCAAGGGAAGGGACGAAGGTACTGGCTGGTCAGGCGAGTGGGAATCTGCAATGCAGCTCCTGTTAACCCATCTCCAGATCTTCAACTTATTGCTGAAGATCAGCTACAGCTGAGGGATTAGCCTACTGCGGGAGTAGGCTACAAACACACAAGGAGAACATGCAAACTCCACACTCCTAGAAATCATCATCAAGAGATTTAGAACCTCAGATGCATTCCTCTATTTGTAGAATTAAATGACTTATGCATTTACAGCAGACAGGTCACATTTTTTTAATAATGATGATAATGGTCCCTCCCATTCTTCCACTTCTCTGCACAGTCCTCGCCTGTGCAGCCTCTTCATCTTAGACTTCTCTGCTGGGACAGAGGAGAGAGGGAGGGGGTGTGTCAGCTGTAGACCGCTGGCCTTTTAAATGAATGACATAATTGGCATCCTGAGCATTCACTGCGCTGAGGGAAAGCACTTGGAAGTAATGGCTTTGCAGAGGAAGTGTGCTGTAGGTTTGTTTGACAGCATTTTCACATTGTACACTGCAGTGAATACCTGCTGCGTGAAACTAAAATGGTCACGTACACAAGGATTAAAAACATGCCAACATGTATTTTCTGTTAGTTCCAGTGCGTTGAGAGAGTAGGGAGAGCCAGGGAGGCGTTGGGGAAGAGGAAGTGTTTTGTTAAACTGTTAAACAATGCTGTGAATTAGACTCCAGAAAGAGCCACAACAAAGCTAAAGGCCAAGGATGTGGGCCTTCCCTTTTTTAAATCTCACTGACGGCTGCCTGTGGTTCTACATCCAAGTTCCAGAGAAGCTTACTGAAAATCACCTATGCTACAATTCAGTATCATCTGTCTGTGCTCCTCCGGGCGTCAGACTGGTTGTAACGTTATATGTGCCGTTTACATCATTTTGAGGTCAGAGCAGGTTTCAAGGAAGCACTTTGCCTAAGGACAGATCTCTGCTCAACATCGTGTTGAGAGACCGTCCCCTTTGTGCTACACTTTGAAAAGATGAGGATCCAGTGGCAGTTTGCCTTTTGTGTTTTACAAGACTTTTAACGGTTCATTTGCTCTTTCAATCTATTCTTTACATGCAGGCTTCATTTACTCAAGATTATCTGGTTTGGCACTGGCTCCTAATCTTGGAGTGAAAATATATTAATATACTTTATCTGTTGTCTGTATATAAAGTATTTATTACATCAATACCATAGACTTCAGTGTTATTATGCTAAATCAACTTTTCAGAGCTGGCAGTGTTATAGTTGTCACCATTTACTCACTCACCAGTTTCTATTTGGAGTGAATCGTGCATGTTTGAGCAATTGTTAATATGTTATTGTCAAGATGCCGTTTTGCTGATAAACCCTTGCTTTCACCGCCACTGATATCCACCCAATGCTCTGTACTTTGCTTTCCAATTTTATTTTCGTAATCACTGATACGTGTAGGGTATCATGCTATGATGTGCAGCTATCCATTGGGAATGCTGACAACTTCACTGCTCTTTGTTATGATGATTATTATGCCAATGTCAGCTGCCATTGAGCACTCATTTTGTTTGGCAGATATTGAGTTGGAAGCTATGAAAGTAATATTACATTAACAGACAGATAATGGTAAAGCATCTTCATAATGCCTAACTTGACTGAACAAATGGATTAGAATGGCTCCTCTTGCCCATAGAGGAGGCACTAGTCACATTTCACCGCTCCAGCCTGAGAGCTCAGGGTTAAAGCTGCTGAACTCTGTAGCCTCGGAGCACACAAGAACAATGTCCACAGACTATTATACAATCTGCATTTTTAAGCATCTATTGGTTATTAAAAGTTAAGATCATGGTGCAGATTTGATATATAAAAAAGAAAAAAATATTAAGCATGATTGTCAAATGCTATGCCTAACAGTAGAACCAGCCTGCCCTAAATCCACCCGTCTGCATTACTCACCATTTGTTTGAGTGCTCGGTACACAAGTTCAAACGGTGGTTTGTAGACTCCCTTGAGAAAACACACGCTTTGACTCTACCCCCTCCCCCTGCCTGTCTGTCTGTTTCTGACCTCTGACCTTTGACCCAAACGAATCATAACGTTCAGTTTGACCTTGTGCTCACACAGACTCAGACTGTGCTCTCTAACTGCTGCAGTCTTGAGTGTCACTGATGCCCTGCCATACAATAATATAATGACTAACAACAGAGTTTTAATTTTAAACTTGTAGAATGTAGTTTTGAATTGTATTAAAAGCATTATTGACATGTCTTTTTATATGAATGATAAATGCAAATTTTGCAATCATCCCTCAGGGATTACAATTCAGTTTGTCTGGCATTATTATGAGTAACAGTCTGGCACTGACTCTGGTCTTGGATGGTGGAGACCATTTGTTGACTGTTTCGTACTCCTTTTGCTGCATGTGGTGGACACATTGCTGCAATCTTAATTCTTACTCTCTAATAGGTTTTGGTGCAGAGAATGAAATATATTCTCGCTGTTGTTTTTGATTGCCTTGTCACTGCAGACATTATAATATACAACATTTTTATTACAGTGATCTGGATTTTGCGGTTGTTTTTTGCATAAAATATTGGTAGGACTGCAGATGGATCTGATGCCTCTAACAAAATATGGTCATGTTGCCGTATGTTGGATTTCAGTTGGAATTGTTACTAACCACTGCTGTGTGTGTATGTGTCTTTGTGTTTGATTGCCCACGTGCACACTGGGCCTGGCAGCAGTGGTCCAGTGATGACGATGCTGAACGCTTTCTGCTGCACTGGCTTTGGCTGAGACCGTGGAGCCATGTACAAGTTAATCCTTTAATCTTGACTAGCATAGTTTGCTAACCAGAAGAAAGAGAAACATTATGGACTAAACTAACTTTCTGCCATTTATTGTTTTCATTTTCATTATTGTTTCAGAAGTTCTCTAAAAAAGATTTGTAAATAATTTTGTCATTGTCCCTGATCTAACATTTTGTCTCAAGGCCTTCTCTTTTATTTGGGACATGATATGTTAAAATCAGGAAATGGAATTATAATCTGTAATAGGATTTCCAGGGAGCTACTGTCATTCATTTTAAAACTTTTATATTTTTTAGATATTAGAAATTTTCTTTTTTAATAGTTTGTTGTAATTATTTTTCTTCTCTCTTGCAGTCCTGTGTGCCAAGAACCTGGCAAAGAAAGACTTCTTCCGTGAGTAAAACCTATTTTTTATTTTTATGTTACTATTCATGTCCCACTGGATCACACATGAACAAGAACAGGCGTTCACAATGATGGCTGCTTTGAAGCTTTACTGAAAAAGTCCCATGGGTGCTGCTCCACAGGTTATCAGCTTAAATGCCATTGTGTTTTAGTTTGATAAGCTATATTTATGTTTGAAAAGGCCTGATAAACCTGACTATAAACAAATTTGGAGCCAGTAAAGGTGTTTGTAAAAGAGCTGAATAGGCGACTGTCTCAGAGGGCTTGCTCTTAGCTCGTCACATGCTCTACAAACATAAATATTGTAAGAATGAGGGCAACCTAACAGGTTTGACCACATGTAGTATCAGTGCCAGAGGTAAAAGAACATACAGAAAACAGATTTTCAGATGTGAAGTGTCATTGCTTTACATGTGACCACATTTGTGCCCATCAGAAACAACTGGGCTGCTGCTTTTTTGCCAGATGCCAGAAGTTTTTTTCTTTATTTAATTGTCTTTTTATTCATGGAATCATGTCATGTAGTCTCATTTTATGTAGATTTATTGGCATTACCTTGAGCATTCTCTTTCATGTTTTGCAAATTTTCAGTATATGGATGGATAAGTTGTCCGTATGTACGCAAGGTTTTATTTTTAACATGTTTACCTCATGTCTGGGGACACAGATGGGCCATTGAAATAAAAAGTCTACATACCCCCTTTTAATGTTAAGTTCATTATTGGAGGTGATGTGAATGTTTTTGTGTTCCAGGTTTGCCCGATCCTTTTGCCAAAGTGGTGGTGGACGGCTCAGGACAATGCCACTCTACAGATACTGTGAGAAATACATTGGACCCAAAGTGGAATCAGCATTATGACCTGTAAGTATCAGAATGGTATATGAATTGGATAGAAATTGGGGTCAGTCAAATAATTTCATTTATCTCCTGTCTGGGTGCAATTGAAATCCTTGAGCATTCCTTGATCAGGATAATGAAAAAAGGAAGGATTGGTTGTCTCATAGAATTACCAGTTAGCTTAATATAGAACCAACAGAGGGTTTAGCATTCATGCAAAAGTGTTTAGACATATGGTGATAAGTGGATTTACCAGTAGTGTTCCAGCAGTTAATGTGGTTGCTCTATAGCTTTTTTGTTTCTCTTTTTTATATATATATATATATATATATATATATATATATATATATATATATATATATATATATATATATATATATATATGTATATTTATATATATATATATATATTTGGGTTATGGCTGACACATACAATAAATGCTTGAAAAACATAAAAAAAAATAAAAATGCTAGTGTGTGCATTTCTATGGAGCAGTTATGAGTCTTTCTGGAATGTACTCTGTCGTCTCTCTCCTGCAACTCCCTTTTTGGCGAGATCCAAAAATCCATATCCAGATACTAATCAATACTACAACTAGTATCAAAACTAAATAATAATTAAGTCAAATCAAGTATGAAAAAACTTCTCCATCAACAACTTTATTTATCTTCAAAAGAGTTATTAACTTTGCAGCTCAAAGGTCATGTCAAAAACAACAAAATCACAAAAGTAGGCCAAAAATGCATGTTTCCTTAATAGATTTTTTGCAGTGATAACAAGCTGGGGGGTTCTGAATGTATCCCTATGATGGAATGTTCAGCAGATATTTATCATGGTGACAAAATTTACTTTTCACACATTAACAAACACTGTCAAATACATTTTAGATGATGTGAAAACTAAAAATACAAAATGGATTTAAACCACACTTACAGGAGCCTATGATTAATACAAGCATTCATGGTTCTGTTTATGGTTTCACTGCTCAGCTGAGAAGCGAGCTGTGAGCGTCAAATGAGATGCAGTGGGATTGTCTCTTGGTATTGGAGAAACTGTGTAAGATAATTTGTTTCATCAGTTTTTAATTTTTAAATGCCACTTCATTTCACACTTTATTTTTATTTTTTAACTCTGAAAAAACATGTTTGAATTATTTTTATTCTGAATTTAGTTGCTGAAATTTTAAGTGTACGCTTTATGTTTCAAAATTCAAAATACAAATTTCACCTTTCAAATATTCAGCCCAAATATTTTCAAGCCCTCAAATTCAACAGTCAAAATTTAGAGTGTAAAATTCACAATAAAAAAAAATCACATGAAAGATCAAAGATGCCAAGTCCTAAACAATCGATCCAAAGTGATCTGATCTAATTTGGTTAATCATTTCCTGTTTGCACCTAATCTGGTCAGCATTAGCTTCATCAAAACCTCATCTCTTTTATTTCTTAAGTGTAAACCCTGCGGACAGAGGAGAATAGCCAGTAGGAAACAGCCTCTGTCCTCCTCTCTCACACATGATCCGTTTCTTAGGCCTCGGAATCTTGGATCTCTGTTGTGAATTTTTTCACAGCAAATTTTACACTCTGAATTTTGACTTTTTTTATTTGAGGGCTTGAAAATATCTGTGCTGAATATTTAAAAGGTGAAATTTTAATTTTGAAAACTAAACAAAAATTCAGAATAAAAATAAATCAAACTTTTTTTTTTTCCAGAGTAAAAAAATTCAAAGTGAGAAATTCAGCGATATTTAAAATTCTAAATCAGTTGGTACAAATTATCTTCCATAAGGTGCACTGACGACTCCTGTTGTCAGTGCATCCCTAAATGCTAGCCAGTGACTGTAATGTTTATGTGTAAGGGACTTGTTTAACAGCAGAAATCTGCTCACCTGTTATAGTTTCAACTAAGTCATTTCTTTATGGTCTGATTGTTACTTCTAATCTGAGCTTTGTTTTAACACAAGCTTCAGACAGAGCAGTCTCTACAGTTAGCAAGACACCTCCAGGGAATGTTGATGACAGCTGCAAAGTTTCAATAATTTTTGACTGGTCTGTGTCTAATATTGCCATGTAGTCAAGTTCTGATATATAAAATATTATTCTCTTGTGTTGAAAAGTACAGTCTTGCATTAAAAATGAAGGTGTTAGCAGCATCTGTTTTATTGCATTTTTCATCGGCTCATGACAAAGATAAACACTTATGGTTATTTCTTGGTAGGAAACAAAAATGTAAGCAGATGGTTGTCATTTTTGGTTGTCCAGTCCTTGTGTCTCAATTCTGTGCACATTGCTGTAAGTTGGTGTCATAAATTCTCTTTGCGTTGTGGTTTTGCTGGCAGACCATAACGTGTCGCGATGACCCTACAGGACCCAAAGGAGCCACTGGCGATGATATAGTGGAAGCTCATGATTTGTAGTGAAAAAAAAAACAAAACTCACACACACACTGGGTACAGCCAGCCCTAAGTACAAGTAGGAACAGATACAACTGGCTAAGTATGAATAACTTTAAAGTTTACTTTAAAGAGGCATAATAGAGTCCAGCTGCAGCCAGCATATTTCACATTTTTGCGTTCATGTAATTTTTGCATGCCATAAGTCAGTCTGGACTTTGTGGGTGCATATTTTTATTTTAATGCAGTGCACACACCTGTTTCTTCACTGTCAACAATAACCACAAATCCACTCGTTACAGTATTGTCCTCTCCTACTTTTGGCTGTACGAGTCTCAAAGGACTGGGTTCCTCGGCAGCGACCCCCGGCCTCTTCCGCTGGTTCAGGAAATGACTGGCGTGCCACAGAAAGCAGATAGGAGTCTGGTCTTAGCAGCCCCAAAGCTCACCACACCCCTAGCTCCAATCTCTGCACTGAGAGATGGGTCCTGCTGTGTCACTGATACCTCCACTGCCCTATATATGCCTACAATACACATACCACTAAGCCACAGCTGTTTTGAAATAGAAATAAGATCAACAACCCAACTATGTTCAAGATTTAGTTTTTAAAGGTTATGCACAAAAAGATCATCTGGGGGTGGCTAGCAGCATAATTGGAATCAGTTTGACAATCTCTTTTTAAAGATGGGTCACTTGACTTGATGCTTGGTAATGAGTATTGTAAAAGCATAAAAGCATCACATTGACTAAATATTGTCTGAATATTTAATTGACTGCAAACATAGTTAAAATAGACAAAGGCCGAGAGCCAACTGAGGGTCCATTCTACCCTTTTTCTCTTTGCCGCCTGAAAAAAAAAAAAAAAGGATGTCGAAAATTCATGCACATGATGATGTAGTATAATGATTAGTACAATCATTATGTGCCACAGGATTTGTGGGCTGGAAATTAGTTTGAATACCTATAGTTAGGGCTGTCGCAATAACTGCAAAAATTAATCACCGCAGTACTAAGAGGCCCACCGTGGTGCATATTGGGCCACCGCACGTGACCAACGTGACCTGACCTAGAGTGCTGCATGGGTCCATTTTTAGAGACTCGCACCCACCCGGACCAGTTACCGCCTGTGATAGCCCAGGACTAACTCAGGACTAACCCAGGACTAATGTGCACCCTCATAGACCATTGGGTGACCGCAGGCGAAAGGACCACCGCAGAGCTCTGAGCCGCATGGTGGCAAGTGCAGCAGTCACTCGGTCGCGCCTTGCAGACACCCTGCTCCGCATGCTTGGCTCTCTTAAAGGTTGTATAGAGGATTTTCCAAGGAACGAGAAATCCAGCGACTGTTTGTCCTTTTTCAAATGTTGCGCATGTGTGAAACCACCCCCCCTCCCCTACAGCTCCCTACGTAGAAACGCCTCCTCCCGCCTCCTCTTTACGCCAGAAACAGGTTTGTTTACAGCCGGTGCGCTGCACATGACTTGTAAACAACTAACTACAGTGTTGGTTAGGCAAGGCGGAGAAGTGGGGAGCGGGTGTGCGGACATTTCTTTCGCGGACGAGAAGTGAGGAGCAGGGAGAAGAGCGGAGCAGTGAGAGAAGAGAGGAGAGGGGAGCGGTGCGCGGAGATTCCGTGCCCGGAGAAGTGAGGAGCAGGGGGAAGAGCGGAACGGGCAGCGGGGACAGGAGCAGGAAAGGGGTGCAGAGAAGGTTGCGCGGAGATTCCGTGCGAATGAACTAGCTACAACACGCAGCAGCAAGCGGACTCTTTCTTTGCCTTGAAAATTACGTTTTCAGACATAGGATATCGCTTTTCGTGTCCTGAAAAACGTTTGTCTAGCTCTTGGAAATAAAGTACGTTTTCATAATAAGCAGAAGTGACCTGTCCAGGAGTAATTTGGCGACCAATGCGTCAGTCTTTAGACCCTGCGTCTGCTTCAGTCGCGCCATCGCTGGAATGAATCTTCAAGAATCACCTTAGTTTGGCTTCGCTGCTTTTCCCCTTGTCTTCTTCTTTCAGCGACCTCAAAAACGGACTTTCTTTTGCGGCTAACTGCTCCTGGATTCTTGTCTGCCATTGCAACAAACTTTGTGCTAACTGCGAGGAAGATATAGGTCAAAAAAAAGCCGCTAAGAACTGTTGCGTTGGTGGAGTAAACAGCGTCTTGCGTCTGTGGACTGCGTGACAGGCATACGTAAACCACGTCAGTTACGCTAGAAACGTTAGGGAGATTGATTGACAGCCTGTCAGCTAACAGATAACGAGGCAGTGTCGTTATCTATTGGCAAATGTTTAGCCCCACCACGTCCAGAGTTGATGAATTTTTATTCTCTTTTTTTTGGTCATCATAATTACAAGGCTACTGCACCTCTATAATGCTATCATTGACAACTTGAAACCAAAAAAAAAAAAAAAATCCTCCATACAACCTTTAAGCCCAGTTCCAAAGCCAAATATTACTTCTCCCACACTACACACGCGATATCCGCGCGACAACCAAAGTACATGTGCATCTGCGCAACAAGTGCATCATCAGAGAGAGGTTTCAGTGCCACTGGAAATACTGTAACTCCGGGGGATGTGGGGTAGGGAAGGAGTGCGTTATCACCACATACCGTGGCGTTGAGCCGCTATACCGCACTGCAGGAGAAATTCCTTAACCGCGACAGTCCTACCTACAGTCTTTCACTCTTTTTGAAAACAGTGTAATATAGCTTTAAGGAAAGTCTTCTGATTTGGTAAACTATCCACAGGTTGATATTCCAGATGCTTTTTCACATTGGTAGGCATAATGTTTGAGATGTGGTGTGAAATGATTGGTGGGATATGGTGTGAAATAAATATAAATATATACATACACATACCTTGCACGGCAAGATGTATTTCATGATATTTGTAAGTTCGCAAACTCACAAGAATTAATCTTGAGAGACTACTGCTGTAAGGTTAAGCAGGCATACCAATCACAGAGCAGCAATGAGGTTTGGTTGAAAGCTAAAGGCTAAGCATCAAAACAAGCATGACAGATCTGCCGACAGATGTACTTCAGTTTATTTTGGCCTCAATATGGAGTATTTTGTTTATGAGAAATGTGCATTTGTGGACAGGGAAGATGTCTGAACTTTTACATTACATCCAGTTGAGAGAAAAGCACAGTTTTTCATCTGTTCCTTTGCTGTGATGCTTCGACCAATCAGATTGCAATAGTTGTCATGACGTTCTGCATTTTCCGATTGTTTTCAGCGAGAGCCATCCCAGATTGATGCGTAGAATCTGGTGTGAGCCAGATTAACAGTACTGTTTTGTGCAACATAATGCGTCAGTTTCAGCTTCCAAAACCTTAATCAAAACTGTGTGTCTCTTCAGTCTCGAGTATTAGTGGTTTCTACACTTCCCCACTTCATTCCTGTCTGCAGAAAAAAAATGCTTTTATTTCCAAATGTGGAAGTGGAGAAATGAGAATGGCATTCAAAGTAGTGAGGGGTTTTGCGTGGAGCTATGGAGCATATTTTGCTAACAGCTCAATAAATTAGATCCTGGTACCTCATTTGTTCAAGTCTGACAATCTCTAATAACTTTAGACAGTTATTATTTTGTGCTCATACTATATTAAAAATAGTGTGAGATTGTGGAACAGAATTTTGTCTGTCTGCCAAATAAGGCAAAGTTTCCATTTTGAAGATTTCAGTCAACCACCCATATCTCTGCACAGTTTCATTCAATGGTATTTTTTTTCTGTTTATTTAATTTTGAACAAAGTGTTACTGAATTACTAAAATGGTCACACCAGAAATGTTAAAAGGTATTTTCCCATGTGTCTTAATGTTTGAGTAATGAGTTTGATGCATTTCCCTGTGTGTGTGAAGGGAAGCCCCTCTGCTCCCCTTCGAGATCCAGTTAATTTGAGTGTTGCCTTTAGGGCCTGTAATTATGTCGGTTTGTCTGAATGTTACAGTGTGTGCATTTCTCAGACAGTACTGGGGCCTTCCTCTATTTGAACCGCGGCTAGACAAACCTTGGCTCTGCTACATCTGCTCTCAGACAACCAAGCACATACACAACACTTCATTAAAATTCAGCTAATCAACCTCATTACACAGTCACAAAGCCAGGGCCACAGACACTGTCTGCACTGTTCTCATTTCTGTCTAAGGAACAAGCTCTTAATACATACAAGTAATGTTATAGGAATGGGCAATATGGCAACATAATTTGATGATTTATTCACTTTGTATTTTTCTACGAACTTTAATGGGTAAATAAAGAAAACTGCTTCTGAAAGTTTGCGCTTCACTGTGATTGGTTAAATCCAGCAATGTGTGGGGGTAGAGGGTGATGCTTAAGCTTAGAGCTGCATTAAATAGAGAAATGGTGAATATGACCAAAATAGCAGATTGCGAAAAGACTTGGTTCACAATTCGATTATTATCACTTTCTTGCCCAGCCACATACTTGAGTAAAACTGTTATAATAATTTTTTGCATTACATTTATTCTGTGTATTTTGTTTCCATTCCAGATATATCGGAAAGGCAGATTCAATCACCATCAGTGTTTGGAATCACAAAAAAATCCATAAAAAACAGGGTGCAGGATTCTTGGGGTGTGTCCGACTCTTGTCCAATGCCATCAACAGACTCAAAGACACTGGCTGTAAGTATCACATCTATGGTGCAATTTATTTTTAATTGTACAGGAACAGTTTGCAGTATGACATCAACCAAAATAGGAAAGCTGCATTGTACCATGTTATAGCAAAGCAAAAATAATATACCTTTTTAATGATGTATAAGACAAATATTACTGCATATAGACTCATGTTGTAAGTAATGTGAAATGTGCCCATTTGCAAGTCTAGTGCAAATTTGTTAACTATTCCATCTCATTGTATTGTATTTAGCTAATGTCCTAGTATTTGATAACTGGGGGCATTCTTGGCTGTCTAATAGTCTTGCAGTACTAGTACATGTACAGTATGTAAGCTGGTTGCAAGTATTGCTTAATTCTTATGTAAATTACACAAATGTATTTAGATTTGAAGCCTTTATAGAAAAAGAAAAATCTTTGACCAGCTGAACAAATCGGCTTTTGCCTGTAAGTCTCCTGTTCACATGGCTTTAAGCTCTGCATTGACTTTGAGCATGGAGCGCTTGTTAGCAGCATTTCGCTGTTGGCAGTGCCAGCGGGTTTATACTGACACATAGTATACACTTAACCCTAGACCATACTGTCCAATTAACATTCTTTCCACGTATTATGCGCCTTTTCTTCAATCCATCTCCCTGACCTGTCTTAAGAAGGAAAACTTGAGTGAATGAGGTGGTTCAGTCTGTGTGCATGTACTTATCCAGCATTTCTTTTTTCCATTCATCCGTTCAATGGATTATGCCCACAAACTCTTACAAGTTTATCCTAATGATATATATATATATATATATATATATTTTTTTTTTTTTTTTAAGCTGCACAGTTGGAGCCATTGTAGAATGCTGAAGTTACTTTTTATGTCAAGTCAGATTCTTCCCATAGGAGTTCAAAATAGGTTTAGGTGACCTTTAAGTTAACTTCTAAATAGCGTTTGGCTCACACATGTTTTCCGACCACAACAGCACCAGTGTTGCCTAAAACAAACCTTGACAGCGACTGGAGCCACTGGACTGCCCCGCTCTGCCCCACTCTGCCCTTTACTTTACGCTCAACCTACTTAAACAGACGCCATACCAGCCACTTATCCTCGCATAACAACACAGCAGAAATTATGCTTTTTTATAACATCAGGAAGTGGGCAAAGATACATGATCTTTGACAAGAGGACACCAGTCTGTACATCCAATCTTTGTCCTGGACAGCTCTCAGACTTGTGTTGTTACGATACTAAGATTTCAAACAATTTCAAAACAAAGCAAAATAGGCTACATACTCAATACAGATTTGGATACCACAATGATGCTGCTTTATTTTATTCTCTTATTTTCTGTTAACCCTTTAATATAGGGCTGTCCAAGCTGTGGTTCTCAGTCTAATTTTTGTCAGCCCTCAGTTTTCCTGCAGAATTAACCCAGATGACTAAAATTAGCATTTTTTACTTAAAATGTTGAAAAGTTCTACTATAATTTCATGAATGGCATTTTGATGTGATGCAGACCAAATATCGATGTCCGAAGTCTGATTGAAGGTGTGGGGGCTCAATCAAGCTTACCTATGCAACATTTTGATTCTCTTTTTTCTGTATCTGTGGCCATTTGCTCCGTATAAGTTTCAATATGTGGCCCTCAGTGAAAAAAAGTTTGGACACCCCTGCTTTAATATGTTCCTGTACAAAGAGCAAATAACATGATTGTTGAGTTTTCAAATGAGTATCTAGTTTTAGTTTTTCAATTACCTAATTTATGATGTTTTGACAACCTTAGGACATACACACAAAATCTTGCCCATTTTTGTTTCTTTTTTACTGGAATAGCTTTGTTTCCTAGAAATGATATTCATCTGTTTCATCCAACATAAACTGGCACAGAGCTTGCATACACACTCGGGGGGGGACTGCATATGTGCGATTGTCTTGTTTACTAGAAGTCTGTCTGACTGAGCTCAACTTCCTGTCGCAACAGTCTGTCCCCTGCCCCACTCCTGAACCCACACGCACCACAGAGTTTCAAAATGACTCTTGTGTTTGTCTCTGTCTGTGTCCCTTTGAACTCAGCTGGTGATTCGTCGCTGAAGTTTGGTCATGGGATGATGTATTCGCACATGTTGTCAGTTAATCGTGCCTTATAAGGTTCTACTGAATGATACCTTGCAGTCTGTGTTTAGTGTCTAAATCTGCTTACAATTTCTGCAACGCAAGTCTCTCTTGTTTAGTCTAGACAGGTATCTATATGCAAACACATGCACAGTGACATCTGGGAGCCAGCAACACTGTCATTTTGATCTGGCCCATTTGTAAATGCGTTGATACACACATTTTAACACACTTTATTTAAATTACAGGCCTAATAATCGTGACTTGAAATGCACATACTACATGACAAATTGTACTGAAGCCAGTATAGTCTCTATATCATCTTGTCTCTCATCTTTGCGTCTGCATATTTCCATCCCTCCTGTCTAGCCTCTTCTCTCTCCTATCTGATTTTTTTCTTATCTTGGAATAAGGTGATTTAATTGAGAATAAAAGAGTCTTTTAAACTTTCGGCACATGAGCACAGACGAGGGATTGTCAGTTGTTAACATTGTGGGTCAGCTGTGTGTGTGTGTATGTGTGTGTATGTGTGTATGTGTGTGTGCTCGTTTTAAAAATGGTGTGTTTATAGAAAGACTGCAGTGTGTATCTGTGTCTCCATCTTGTTCAGGCTCTTTTTAGCTTGTGCTTATTCACTTGTCTGCACGGAACATCAACCAAATGAACTACATGTATTTACCAAAATGCATTTGCCAGTATATTGAACAGTTTGTAAATCTGATAGAAATGTGCCTGTGATTGTTTGTAAATGTAATCCTTTAAAAAGCAGTTGGTTCAATTGTAAAAGCTGCTTAGCTGGTGTAAATCATCTTTTATTCTTCTGTTAATATAAACATGGTATGAACTGATAGCTGAAAAACTAAAGTGCCTGTTTAAAGTTGGTGTTCAGTTTCCTGTGTTGTTTTGCAGACCAGAGACTGGACCTGAATAAGCTCAGCCCAAATGACAATGACACTGTGAGAGGACAAATAGTAGGTAAGAACATAACTAGTCAACATTACTGGGTATTGGGATCATCTTTTTTGAGTACTTTATGACATGTTTTAATAAGTATTATGAAACTTTTATTTTATTGGTGCAGTGAGTCTCCAATCCAGAGATCGTATTGGGTCAGGAGGGCCGGTGGTAGACTGCAGTCGTCTATTTGACAATGACTTGCCTGATGGGTGAGTAAAATCTTTAACTAAATGTATTGCATGTTTTGAAAAAATCTGTTATCCTCACTAAATTATTCCCCGTAATATGTACTATAATTTTAAACTAACTATATATTAACTACTATTCTAAATATAAATGTCTACTCTATAAACCTCAAACTTCAGCCCCAAATGTCTCTAATCTTATTGTCCGATTTTTTATTTTTTTTGTTACAGCTGGGAAGAGAGGAGGACAGCCTCTGGACGCATTCAGTACCTAAATCACATCACTAGAACAACTCAGTGGGAGAGGCCAACCAGGTACAACATTTTTTTAATACTTCAAATGAACTATTTTTGTTATTTTTTTTGTGCTAGCTTGTCAGAAAAAGTACAATTAAGCATTTTCCCCAAATCGTTCAGCCTTGGTAAACCAGCCAGGGAGTCGGGCAGTCAGGTTTAGCTTGGCTCCCAGTGCTGCAGGAACAACTGTCTCCTTCCTACTCCGACTGTATCAGTGAAACAGTTCAGAGTAAGTCAACAAATGACAACACTCCATGACTGCCCCCTGCCCGACCCCCTTGTGTCCCTAAAGTGGAGCAGAACAAGGAAATGAAGGAGATGGAAAGCATTGAAATGGCCTGGTTTAAGCATTTTACAGAGTTTTTGTCTGAACATGTGGCACAATTTACCAAATTAACTTTTTTCATTGAATGGAACTGACACAGTAGAGAATTGCATTAATTAAAACAGACCTCAGGTTTTCTCCAATTTACATTTAATTTCTGTCTAACTATATGTGTATATTTTATTGTGAAACTTATTACATTTTGACTTTCAGGCCAGCGTCCGAGTACTCCAGCCCGTCAGGACGTCCCCTCAGCTGTGTGGTGGATGAGAACACCCCTGTGATGACCCCCATCAATGGAGCAGAGGCCAGCGGTCCTCCCGGAGAGCATCGGATCCAGGAGAGACGCGTCCGATCGCAGCGCCACCGGAACTACATGAGCAGGACACATCTGCACACACCTCCTGATCTGCCAGAGGGATACGGTAATCTGCACCATTTTACACCTGACCTCCAATTTACCACTTCTAAATGCAAGGACTAAATAATCCTATTAAAACACTAGAGTACTGCATTTTTAAAGTATATATATTATGAGTGTGAAATGACACACGCATATGGCACTTTATATCAAAGGCAGCACTGTGAAGCACATGCTCTTTGTTTTGATAAATAACTTTTACCACGTGGTTACCTGGACATAGGATTATGGCGCCCTTTGGACAGACTTATTTGACTGCATCTTTATGCACATACACTCCACAATGGAAATATTTACTATACCACATTTTTGTCTGAATTAAACTTTTACTGGGATCGTGGAAGAGAAGGATATTGGCAGATTTTGATCCATATTGTCTGTTTGGCTTCAACTTGTCACATACTCATTTGTTTGCATCTTTACGTAGACACACACTCCACTCTGGATATTGTACGCCACATTTATTCAAAGCTCTTTGGGAGGGAGATCTTGGTGAGACTGCCTGATGAGCCATGATCAGATTTTAACACATGTACATAAGTCCTCCATATGTGCTAGGCTCAGTCTTCTCATACACTGTAAGCTTTTTCACTGGGTTTACTATTCAAACTATACCCCAATGTGTCTCCAACATGCAGCCAGTGCCACCAGTCTACGGGAAACCTTATTCATGCGTTTTGGCTATGTCCACCACTCTATGGTTATTGGAGTTAATTTTTTTCAATAATTTCAACTGTTATTGGCACAAAAGTTCCTCAAATCCTTTGAGTGCCTTTTTTGGGATTTTTGTAGAGCCACCTTCCATTTCCAACTCCCAGAGTAACTTCCTTGCTTTTATGACCCTTCTTGCAAGGAGGGTAATTTTACTGAAGTGGAAGTCACCACAGCATCATTTACACAGTGGCTTACGGATGTTCTATATTTTCCTAAACTTGAGAAGATAAGGATGACACATCATTGCGCCTCTGATAAGTTTATACAAATATGGCATCCTTTGTTCAAATGGTACAAGAAGTGAGCTGAGGAAGGCTTTCTTGCCAAAACGTGATTTAAAAATAAAAAAGCTTTTGGACATTGGACATCTGAGGGAACTATGCATTTTTTCACTTTTATTTTACTGTTCCTTACATTTGCACCTCTGCAAAAACTTTGAGTGTTTTCAGTTTCATTTGATACAAAAAGTTAGTTTCCCTTCTATTCAGGATTAACTTTTTTCTGGTCCTTTCTTTCGTCACTTTTATCTGGTTATTTATGATTGTCAGAACTTTAATAAACAATGTACAGTGCTAAAGAATACATTGGAATACAACTGAAAACTAAGGTTGCTATATTAAACATCAGAAATGGTAATAAATCAGTGTAAAATTTAGTGTAATAAATTCTCACTTGGCTATTTAGTAAACAAAAAAAATAATGCGTGTCAAACACTGCAAATTTCCAAACTTGCCGACTAACATACAAACTGAGGCTAAAATATAATGATCAAAGCACTATGGGGGGCACAGAACACACAAACGTCCTCTATAAAAACTGCAGTACATTTTGTTCAACCAAAGCCTCGGTGCAAAATCCCCCAAAAGCCTTTAAAATATTTTTCTTTGTAACAATTTAGAAGGCCAGTGAATGATTTGAGTGTTGCTCCCGTCCTGGGACTGTCTGAGGCTAGACAATGTGAGTCAGTGATGCCCAATGGTCTGTGGAGGTGAACCCTCTGAACCAGCTGGGTGCGGCATTAAAGTGTGTCAGTCTGAAAAAGAGGAGAGAATGTGTCAGGGAAAGGAAGGAGAGGTGGGCACTGGGGAGGAAATAGGTTGGTGCCACTAGGAAGTCGGGTGGGGGCAAAGAGAGCTGCCATTTGAGAAGCAAAAATACTGTCTTTTTCTCAAAGACACTGTAGGTAATGGATTATATATAGAAATTGTATGTCTAATAGTGGTTTCACTGCACAAAGTGAAGTAGTAATATTTTGAAGTATCAGTCGAATTTAAGTGAGATGATTAAACTTGAGATTTTTTTTAACCTTTTTAAAGATATTGTATATTTCTCTTGTATTGATTTTACTTTTGAAAACTACACGTATTTTATGTTTAGTCATGAACTCTGTGACGTCCGAACTGTTTCTTTGTATGCCATAGGTAGCACCCTCACCAAAGACTTTTGCACAGTATTTATTTTTGAATATGTACTTTTTGCTTCAGCAATCGTAATACTTTAAATAGCATCACTTTTGAATGCAGCTTTTAACTACCTCTCCCTTTTCATTCAGCTATCATATTTTATATCTTTTGCAGTAAAACAATTTTTACATCATGTCATCATGTCTAGAGCATGATAATAAGATGCTATTAGAAAAAAAGAAAAATTTGTTGAAGCCTTTTATTTTAAAAAATCTGTACATTTAATTTTTATCTGGAAATTGGAGGGGAACTAATTGATTACATTGGCCTGAGTCTTGAGAAACTCTAAAGGCAACAGTATTGCTACAATGAGCCTGTCATAGCAATTAGACATAGATTTTCTCTTCTCTGCACACACTCATTATCTGTGTTAAACTTGTATGTGTTACTTAAAGATTTTTTGCTGTTTGTCAAGTTTGAGTAAAGTTGTTTTTTGGTTTCTGTTTTAGAGCAAAGAACCACTCAACAAGGTCAAGTCTACTTTCTCCACACCCAAACAGGAGTAAGCACATGGCATGATCCTCGGGTGCCCAGGTAAATGCTACCACTTGGCTGGACTACATCAAACCTTTAATTTGATAAATGTATATTTCATTTATCAATTTCCAGGCTTACATTTTTGGTTCAGCTAAACAATTGACCCAATCACCCAGAATAGATATGTATGTAATGTTTAAATGTAAACTTGACACAAATGCAGGCCAACCACTCTGCATTAAAGGTCCTATATTATGTAGAATGGACTCTTGTGAGCTTTAAGCCATCTTACAATGTTGTTACCTCATCAAAAACATAAGAGCTGTGTTTTGTTACTTTCACACTAGGGCTGCGCGATATGAAAAAAAAAAAAGAATCACTGATCCATTTGATCTTCTTCAGTCTTATTAAAAACGTATGACATGTGGACTTTAGGCATAAAGAGCTGGGTGTCAGGGCCACTACAGTTTTTATTTCCCATTGATAGGACTAATAATTATGGAGAAATTCACATTTAAAACTTGGAATGAATATACTAAATGCATAGGCCCGTTACTGCTAGCGGCAGAAACATGTGCACGCATGCTACTACTATCAACAGAAACACGGGCGATGTCTGTGCGTGAAATAAGGTCCCAAATTTCACTCATAAATGGTGGAAAATAGTCGTTTACTCTCAGTAACTTGGATTATAATAAGAAGCACCAGAGGAGAAAAGGTGAGGAGCTGCAGCCAGATCAGAGAGGAAGGGGAAGCGACTGAGCAGTCAGATGGCCAAAAACCAAAGTAGAAATTGCGATCTATCGATCTTTAGATTTTTGGCACAGCCCTAATTCACACATGTCTGAGTAACCCTTGTTATTAGTCTGTCTCCAAAGCTCAAAATGCTTGGACCCACCTTGTGAGCTCATGTAGTGCTAGTTTTCAAGTTAACAGCTATGTTTTACTTTTAGTTCAATAGAGACTGGCTATTCCAGAGCAGAAATTATCCAAATGATTCTAGTGAAGGTGTATGGAGTGGAGCACATCCTGTATTACCACGTGACATCATAAGGTGGAACAGATCTGTTTGAGAGAAGAACTCAGCCTAAATATGCAGGGTATCTATAGTTTATTTTATTTGCTGACATAGGTTTCCAACTGATCTGTCATCACATTTCTAGAATACAGAGAATATAATTAGAATTGTGTCTTAATTTATTGGCCTAATTGTTGCATTTTTCCTTGTTTTCAGGGACCTAAGCAATGTGAACTGTGAAGAGTTGGGTCCGCTGCCTCCAGGCTGGGAGATCAGAAACACTGCCACAGGAAGAGTCTACTTTGTGGATCACAACAATCGGACGACCCAGTTCACAGACCCACGACTGTCTGCCAACCTGCATCTTGTGCTAAAGTAGGCCTCATAGTTGAAACTCATAAGATGTACTAACATATATGTCCTTTTTATTTAGCATTATGGATCATATTGATAGAAAAGCTTATACTGAATCGTAAAAATGTCAAACTTTAAAATGATTTGTTACATGTAGGTTCAGTTTCTGCTGAATTGTTTAACATTTTGACTTTTCTGTCTGCCGCTTTGTACGGTTTGTCCTGTATCATGTTTACTTTTTTATCATGTCCCATGTTGTTTTCTTTGCTCTAAACTTGAACTTGTTTCCCTTTTTCTGCTTTCTTCCAACAGCCCAAGTCCAAATGGATCCCGTGTGGCCATGGAGAGCCAAAACACTAACCTCAGGTAACCCACAAACTCAGACATGTGTTCACACGTCAGAGGCAGACTTCTGATTGTTGAATGACACATTTTCATGTGAATGGTGTAGAGCCAGGTGGACACATACTTAGATACAGACCTTTGCTGTCTAAGTAGAGCAGATACAGTGGTGAGAATGCTGAGTGGGATTTTGCGCTTGGGAGAGCAGCCACATTTAGAGTAACTGTCCTCAGTGCAGTGGACATTATTGGAGTCAAAGTTGCTCCTGTCTCAGTCAGAGGAGCTGTCAATCTACCTCCTCGTGGTTGTGCTTTGTGCCTCACTACAGCACTGCTCGTGTCCAGGTCGAAAGAGAAAATAATATTAAACGTGTTTGGCAGCAAATTTCCTCATTAAAGTGCAAATCAAATATTTAGCACTACCACACACCGTGATGATACAGTTATAGAAAAAAGACTATTTTATTTATTTTTAAAAATCCATTATGCTTTAAGCTGCTCTTTATCTAATTTATTTCAGGATTGATTGGAGGGCCTTTGAACTCATCAGCCTAGCACCAGTATGATATGGTGTTATGGTCAGTATAGGCAGGGTGTTGTGATGTAGGTTTCAGTGCTCAGCTGCATCAGTGTACCTGAGACTGAAGGCTCAGACATGGTTGTGGTCTGCTGCTGTTCTGCTCCAGAGTTCAGATTACATCAGTGTGGCTTTAGTGACCATCAGCTGGTATTTTATTTTTTTAACTAAAGTGCATTCAGAGTAAATGAATGCATGGTTTAAGGAGGGATATATGGCAATAATATGGCTGTGTGCAAAATGTGTCTTTGTTTTCATACTTAGTTAAATGCTTTGGACATATTTGTCTTTTTAACAACCACTGTTATGTTCTGTCTGGGCTCCAGTGCATCTAAATAAAACCTTTCCATTTTGTGATACTTTTTTTTTTTTTTCAAACACAGCATTTTTCAGTCTGAGACAGTCTCATCATCTGCGCCGACTGTCTGCTGGCGGTTTTTTGCACTTCCTGTTCTGTGGGAGCAGGTAGAAACTACACATGTGGAGTTATGTCTTATATATGTGCTGATGCAGAGTACCTAAAACTAGCTTTAAAAAAAAAATATATATATATATATATATATATATACCCATGTCAACATTTGAACCTGAGCTGATTTGTGGGCCTAACAAGATCTGTCAAAAGCTTTTCTCCTTGTGACTGGACAGTGTCTGCCTGTGGGGTCATTGGGTTTTTGACTTTTCACAGAGACACATTAACTTGGTGTGCGGTTGGCACCGTTGGAAGCGTTGGAAGCGTTGGCGTTGTTTGGCCGATCTTTGCAGTGTTTTAGGCAGTGGGTGCAGAGAGTGGGGCAGCAGCTGATCCTCACAGCAGATGGACACATAAAGGCTCCTTTGACTCTGGGAGTGGGACGGGGGCTGGGACTCTGAGAGTGTGGCTTTAACACCACTACACCTACTCAGCACTCATTACAGCCCACCTGTGTAAGCTGCCATAGACGTGCTTTACGTGCTCAGAGGCCTAAACCTGGTCTTTGATGAAGGTTCATCTGTAGGTGATCCAGACCTACTATTTCACGTGGCTTAATTTCTTATATGATTCAATTAAAGCTCAGGCTGTCCAGTTTTAACTAATATTTCTCTCAAATGCCATTTTTTTAATGTCTCTTTTCCTCTATTGTGTAGAGACCATAGACAGTGAATTATGTTGAAACATATTTTTAATTACATTGTGCCCTCAGAAGGGGAAAAAAGTGTGCTGAAATTGTGCCTTATTATAGTTTTCCAGCCAATAGCAACTCATTTTGTTTTACAGACAGCTCCTCTCCCCTCCTCCTTCCTAAAGTGGTTTTGAGGACTGCTCTGCTGTACCCTTTCTTTGACATGAGGAGCCTCTACAGCTGCCAATAAAATAAATAGCAGCCGACTTGATTATACAGGGATAGACCGGTGAAACAGTGCACCCGTTTAGTTTGGAAAGCCCAAATATGAGGAGTGTTTTTTTTTTTATATGTACAAAGAGTGTTGGGTGGGTGGCTGCCCGCTGCTGTTAGGTCTGTCATGATAACTAATTTTGAAGTGCAATATATTTCTGAAGATTATAGTTAATAAAAACATTGAACTTGAATATCATTTTAACATGACTAATATTGTTTCCATAAAGCAGAATTATTTTTGTGAACTATTTGCTAAATTAGATAAACTATCTATATTTTAAGGACTTTCCCGCTACCCTTTGTTTGCCCTGTGGTATAGGACTGTAGAGGACAGTGGCTTGTTATAAAGAGGGCTCTGCTAACTCAGCGTCTCCACTCAGGAGAATGAGCTCTGCTGTCCGGTCGAAAGGAAAGATGGATTATGTTTTTACGAGGCCCACCCAGGCGTCCCACCACCGATACCACACTGGGCTAAAGCAGACCAGAGCTCCATCACCGACCACACCATGCCCGTTTTAAGCACTTACGGAGTGTACCCTCCCAAAAGTAGCACAAGAACAACAGGTCACCTAAGTGCACTGTTACGTATTTTAGGTTTAGATCAACATCATTTGTAACGGACTGACCCGTGTTGACACAAGTGAGGACAGAGGTTGGTGCTAAATTTGTCGTATCTTCATTGAGGGTTATTGCTCATCTAGTCACTAAAGGAAGTGATCTTGTCGGCAGGGGTACTAAACAGAAGCATTGTTTGGTTAGTTGAGATACAAAATGTTGTGTTGCAGTATTTAGTGCTTTTTCTGGCCTTATTTCTCCATAATGTATTCTCCCACTGTGCAGTGTTTCCTAAAGTCTGGCCCATAGCTTGTTCATAGTGACCTATGAATTGATTCATTGTGTAGGCAGAGATTTTGTTACCAATTATGTTTGGACACTAAATAAAATTGGTAACTTTATTTAAAAAAATCAGGGCAGCCCCCCTTTCTTTTTTGACTGATTTATAAAGCAGTATTTATTTGACCTTGGAAATGACAATGCCAGATGTGAAAATGACATTCATCCTTATGTCCATGTTTGTTTTAGTCACCAGAACCAGATTAAAGAGCCGGTTGCTCCTGGGGGTCCTCCACAGCCCTTGTCCCCTGCACAGCTGCCTGAAGAGGCCGAGTGTCTGACGGTGCCTAAATACAAGAGAGACCTGGTGCAGAAGCTGAAGATCCTGCGCCAGGAGCTGTCCCAGCAGCAGCCACAAGCCGGCCACTGTCGCATCGAGGTCTGCCGTGAGGAGATCTTTGAGGTAAAAAACACATGCTCCTGTTGTGTTAATAAAACAAACATAAAACGTTGGTTATTGACAACACTATTTTGTGTATGAATAAAAACAAATGCACTTGCAACTCACACAAATGTATACATAAAAACACTTTGGATGACTGCTCCTCACAGCTCTCAGAGTTGAATTTTACTGGCATGCCTCCTTCTCTTTTACAATGTGCATCAGAAGAGGGCCTGGGGCAGGCCAGTACTGAGAATCCCTTTATGATTTCAGAAGAAAACACTGAGCAGAAAGCCTTTCTCTCCTCTTGTGTCTAAAGCTCTCTCAATCATTTGTTCGACCAAGACATTCTTTGTGGATGATTTCAGCCGCTCCAGAGATTGAGGGGGAGAAGGGGCTGGAGCTGCAGTGGCAAGTATTCAGGGCCAGACATAACTTCATAACTACAAGTTGAGCAATGAAAAATATGACTTCATCTGGCTTTGAGGTGGCAGCTGCGGAGGGGAAAGTGAAGTGTGAAAGCAGCTCTGCAAATCGGCTCCAACTTTTACACCAAGTACAAAGTACTTTGGCAGATCATGCAAAAATGTACTCAAAATGATTTTGTCCCCTGTAAGGAGACACTCTAGGCACATATGACATTAATGTGAAAGTTGTTCTGCTTTTTTTGTCCCATAGTTTTATCTCAGCAGGGTGAATACTTTGTGTTTATTTGTTATTTGTTTTCTATTTGTTTACGTTTTTGTGATAATTTGTAGGAGTCATATCGACAAGTCATGAAGATGCGTCCAAAAGATCTCTGGAAAAGACTAATGATCAAGTTTAGAGGAGAGGAGGGACTGGACTATGGTGGTGTTGCCAGGTATATTTTTAGTTTTTGTTTTTATTGATGTGTTTATTTGTCATATTTAAACGGTTTGTGTCTGTCTGCAGAGAATGGCTATACCTGCTGTCCCACGAAATGTTGAACCCCTACTACGGCTTGTTCCAATACTCCAGAGACGACATCTACACGCTACAAATAAACCCCGACTCTGCTGTCAACCCGGTAGAAAAACTGTTAAAGCATAATTTTTGAAGAAAAGTTCTTCATATTTAGTATTAGTGTGTTTTGAATTGCAGGAGCACTTGTCATATTTCCATTTTGTGGGACGCATCATGGGCATGGCGGTTTTCCATGGCCACTACATCGATGGAGGATTCACGCTGCCGTTTTACAAACAGCTGCTGGGAAAACCCATCACCCTCGATGACATGGAGTCTGTGGACCCGGATCTACACAACAGCCTCGTCTGGATCCTGTAAGAAACTCAAACATGTTGTCTTTACATTTACTTTTCTCTAAATATTGATTGATTTTCCCTTCTGAAATAAATTGACTAGACATTACCATGTTCTAAAATAATGTTCTAATGATAAATGGCTCCCTCTGCTGCCTCATAGAATAAGGAACATACTTTGGCCTTTTAAATATAAAACTATTTCACACCTTTCCTCCACAGGGACAATGACATAACAGGAGTCCTAGATCACACTTTCTGTGTGGAGCATAACGCCTATGGAGAAATCATCCAACACGAGCTCAAGCCCAACGGGAAGAGCATCCCCGTCTCTGAGGAAACTAAGAAGGAATATGTCAGGTACATTCACCACATGTTACTATGTGTGTCTGCATTGTTAGAAAACCAAGTATTGACTTGCCTCTGCATTTGTCTTCTGCAGGTTATACGTCAATTGGCGTTTCCTGCATGGGATCGAGGCTCAGTTTTTGGCTCTGCAAAAAGGTTTCAATGAGGTCATCCCACAACATCTACTTAAATCTTTTGATGAAAAGGAGCTAGAGGTATCAAACAATTATCACGCAGTATCCACAGATCTTGTCCTAATCATTCTGTATGCTAAGTACATTAAACATTTCTTCTCTTTGTTTGCAGCTGATCGTGTGTGGTTTGGGTAAGATTGACATCACAGACTGGAAGTCCAACACTCGTCTGAAGCACTGCACTCCAGACAGCAACATCGTCAAGTGGTTTTGGAAAGCCGTGGAGTCGTTTGACGAGGAGAGAAGAGCCCGTCTGCTGCAGTTTGTCACTGGCTCATCCAGAGTGCCACTGCAAGGCTTTAAGGCTTTACAAGGTACTCAAGCAGTCTCATGTAGAGGAGCTTACACAGTTTAAAAGGCATGAAAGATTTAAAATACACTTTTTCTATAGGAGCTGCAGGACCCAGACTTTTTACCATTCACCAGATTGATGCCAACACCAACAACCTGCCCAAAGCTCATACCTGGTATGTACACAGGCATTCATGGCCATTCACACAGTGGCTCTCTTTGGTTTCAAGTAGCAGCTATGAAAAAGTATAACTTGACCACAAATTAAAATAATGTAATGTTATAATAAAGTTGTGAGAGTTAAACCTTTTTAGACATTTTCCTCATATATTTTTGTTTTTTACCTCCAGCTTTAATCGGATCGACATTCCACCTTATGAGAGCTATGACAAGCTTTACGACAAGTTGCTGACAGCGATTGAGGAGACGTGTGGCTTCGCCGTGGAATGATTTTGGACGCTAGTGATATTGGACACATGAAGAACTGTCAGACTTTTCCCTCCTCCGGGCCGTGCACACAGACCCCGTCAGAGCCGCGTCACCCTGGACACAACGCAGTCTTCCTCCTCCTCTCACCGCGCTCCATATTCTTCCATCTCCAAAACTTTCAAAACAGCTGCTATGACACTGACTCACTGTCTAAATGTTTTGTTGTCTTATGGTGCAGTTCCTTTGATATCTATTAAACCAGAAGAAGCTGCTGAAGGTTTGTAGTATTCGATTTGTATCACAGTTGTGTAAATGAGCAGTTGTTTTTTTTTTTTTTACTTGTCTGAAAAGGCCCTGGATGAAAAATATACAATGCCTCTTCCATTATTGCAAACAGTAACCCCTGTTTAAGCTTTTTGGGGAGTTCTACAGTAGCATGGCAAAGACCTATTTTAATCTTGCCCAAAGTAGCCATTTGATCTCAACAAATTTTCTTTTCTGTTGAGAGAGCGCACCACTTGATCATCCTACCTCAAAGTTTAAGAATTTCTTTGAACACAATTTAAGATTTGAATGCAACGACTCTATTGATGGTTTTCAGATTATAGATATAGGTGATGTCATTACCAGATGGGGGGCAAGAGATGGATTTTACTGTCTTTGAGTAAGGAAAAGTAGCACCACTGCCATTCAGTTAAAATATTCTATCTTTTGAATGGTCCATAAAATGTCGATTACATGGTTTTCCTGCTGATTTATTTTAGTCACAATGCCTTAAGAACTGAAAAATCTGCATTTTAACAATATTCATTTAACTGCCCCCATCTGATTAAAAGGTACACTATGGCACTTCTGTTGGAGGGTACAAGATGTTTCGCTTTGCCTTGGAAGTATGGCATTAAACGAATCTATCTCAGATGTACTGAGTTGTTTTATTGTAAAAAAATAAAAATAAAAATCATGCATTATTACTGTGAGCGACCGGGTTCTTGTTGTCATGCAAGATTGCTGTAGAAGATTTCAGACCTTGCAATTTTATTTCCATGACAACAATTAGGTGTCGGACCCTCCATCAGAAGAAGTATATAGTGTTCCTTTAAGTATTATTGGATTATAGAAATTTGATATCATCTGAAATCCAGCAAGTTATGGGTATATAATATTATTTTAGTCCTGCAGCAGTTCTCGAGTGTTAAGTATGTGTTTGTGATGGGCATTTTAAAATACTGAGCGACTCTGGTGGAAAAGAAGTGAAGTCCTATTGGCTGCACTGTGGCCATAGATTCATTTAAAGCGTGTAATTGTTTTAATAAGACTGCAACATACTTTCTGCACAAATCCTCTTCTCACTGCTGCAGAGCTGACCAACCTCACAAATTAAAGGTGGTGAAAGCAATTTTGTCACAACACCAAAAAAATACCCCTTTAATTTACCTTTCTTGTCTTATGCATGTTTTGGCCATTTAAATACATTTTAGGAGGACTTCCTTTAAGCTTGTTAGGTCTTCCTTTTCTTCCACATTACCTTCAGCAAGTTATGTACAATAAACACATATAGTGGGATTATATTTTAAATGGCCCCTGAAGCTGTCTAAATAACAAGCTTATAAAGGTCACATGCCATTCATTTAAACATTTCTCCCCCTCTATGGTCACTTTAGAGCACTTTATAAGATGAGTGATGAGTGCTTTTTTTATCATTAAGATCAAATGTATCATTGTCATTTGCTATACATCTACATCAGTAATATACAGAAATATATCCACCTGTAATATTGAGTATATATGTACAAAACATAGCTATTTTGTATATTGTGGCTTGATCTTTCTATTTGTTTTAAATGCGCGCATGTTTGGTGTCTGCCAGAGACCTCTTTCTCAGGTGAAGTCGTCTTTTTTTTAATTTTTTTATTATTGTTTATATTCGAGGCTAGTATGTGAAGAGACCTACCACTTGATTTATTGGGAACTACATTACCCACAATTCCAGTAAAACATGTTGCCTGTTCAAAGAAACACCAACTCAAATTATTCAGTTATTTCCGTTTCATGAGTACAGTGGTTCTCAATGTGAATTTGGCTTTCATATATTTTAATAAAGATGGAAGCTATTCATATACAAAAAGGTAACAAATAAACTGTACACCATCGACTGTATATATAATGGACATGGCTATCCCGCAAGCCACTGTGCTCCAAATAGGAAATGAGCATGTGGGAGCTCCATCGACTCTGACTCCAATTGACTTTACACTGAAAAATGTTCACCCCTCTTTCTAAGCCGCTCTACATGATCCTGGTGTTTTTATTTTGCCATTTTCTCCATGAATAAATTCCTATTCCTAAAATGGAATTCTGCTCCAAATTCACTCCCGTAACTGCTAGCCTCGTGAGCTTCATTTGACTGGAGCCAAACACTATGGTTGACGTCACACTCACGTAATCCACTTTTGTATACAGTCTATGGTCTACAAACAGTGACAAAAAGCTCTTCAGCTAATACTCAAACCACTGTTCAAGGCACAGTCTTTTAAGGAAAATATCTTGGGCCACTTTTCAAACAATCTGAAAGTGCACCCCAATATTTGTATTATTGAAATTATGGAATGCGTTTAACACGTTTAACAATATTGTGTTTTGTAATTCACAGAAAAGTCCTGAATATGATAAATTGTATGTTCCTTTCACTCAGCAAAAACACATGAACATTTTTGCACATCACATCTCTCGACCAAATACATGTGCTGATTGACCACTATGTACGTACACAGCACATGCACCACCCGCCTCGGCCTTTGCTCTCATTTTCTGTGGGGACATTGCTTCCAGACCAACAATTCTCAAAAAGTTCATTCTAATTTCAGTATTTTTTGTGATCCTTTTATGAAACGTTAAAAAAAAAATGAAACACTATTTTATGGATGAGGTGGAAACTGTAGCTTTTTATTTGATCTCAAGCTGCAAAACTATTTTTGTTTAATTGCTTTTGTGTCTGAATAAACTGACCACAACAAAACCAAGTCTTAGTGTTAAGAAAATCATATTTTTTTTTCTATCCAGGTTTGTATTTATTTTGACCATTTATGTGATTATAGTTTTTCACATTGGCTGCTCTGAGCTTGTAACTGACACCTGTACATACATAGGACAATAAAGAGGCTGAGTAACAAACTTGTTGTACCCCTGCAGAAAGCCAAGCAATAAAACTATGCTGTTTGGACCACACAGCATTATGTTTTATACAAATGACATGTTTTGCTGTTTTCTATTAAGCAAAATTGACACATTGCTTCATTTTTGCAAGTACATATCTACAAATATATATCGTAAAGCTGTTGTAATCCCTCCATTGTCCATATATGATCCAAAGCAAATGGAAAATTCACTTCAATTCACTGGACAAAAGTTTGAGTGAAGATGAAAATGTGTGTGAAATTCATGCCTGCTAAACATTTCTCTAAAACATGTCCCTCTAAGCATTATAATGGATGATCTAATTCTGGCGTAAGTCTTTGAGCTACATTAATCTCATACAGTTGGGGCCTTTATGGTGCTCAATTGTGTGTTCAACTATGGTATATAGTTATGCCCTTGTCAAAAACATACTTGGGGTTTATGTTATGAGGTTCTTTTTTCAGACCAAGAGTTTGTTTTCGTACCTGACAATTTCAGCTGCTCTCTAGCGTTCTTCCTCAGAGTGTACTATACTTGGAGTTGTTCATTCACGTTTGTTTCAGTACTGATATAGTTAGTCCTTTCACTTAAAAGATCAAGACACTTCTTATTACTCTAGAAAATGTTCCCTGAAGCTCTTGTCACCTTTTTGATTATTTGTAGGTTTCAGCTTCCTGTTACATGCAACACTGAGTACCCATTAGATGCATTTTGTTTTAAATTGTTAATGTCACCAGCCCTAATTTTTCCACCATTCTTGAACCCATGGATAAGACTAGGACATGTATGAATCCTATATACTGACCCCTTGTGGCTAGAGTTAGCATTGTCAGTGGTGATTTCTTCCTATGACACTGGTACAGAAATGTTATTGAGTTAATTACAGTAGCTTTTAGAAACAAGAGCCATAAGAGTGCAGACATTTATTTGTTTGCAGCTTTGTGTGTGCTTGTAATGCACATTAACAATATTATTATTTTTTTTACATTGCGCTGAATTTTGGTCCAAAACTATCAGGTCTAAGATTAAAAATCACAAATAAAAATCCAATCATCATTCTCTCTGTTGATTATAAAGCACACATTCCAAACATTTTAAAATCAAACCATGTCAATGTTAAAAAATAAATAATTCAAGTGGATTAATCATGGTTTAGGCAATGAAGGAAGACATGTTAAGATCCTGTCATTTATATCACTTTGTATTGCTGGTCCCTATTTGGCAAAGGAAGAACATTTTCTGTATTTTTTTTTGCTACAGTAACTGCACATTTAGGGTGCAGGGAATATTAAAATCAATAAAATACATGAAGAGTTAGCAGCTCAAGAAGAAGGATGTTTACATATAATGTCTTTAGTTTATTTTAGTAGGTCCAGATTAAATTTACTCTGACAGTAACCAAGTACTGCATGATTTTCTGTGCAAATGCGCCCGAAGAAGCCGAGAGGTGGTGTCCTTACGTTGTACCTATGTGAGTGACCAGTGCCTGCTCTGAGGTCCATGGCATTAGTTTGAACTGTCCTGGGTTGGGCACTAGGGCAAGTAACTAGTGTTGTAGCTGAAAGACGCCAAGTGCATCCGGTTTCGTAGTCTCTGGACGTCCAAATCCTGGAAGTGCTCGTCCTCATCGTTTTCTATGATGATCCTCTGCAGCTCTCGGATTTCTCGCTCCATTCGACAACGCAACTCCCGCTTCATCTTCATTAGAGCCTGTAACAAAAAGCACTTTAATATGGTCTCGATTCAGAGATAAAAATGTATTTGTAATAGGGCTGAAGGATTTGAGAAAAAATATATATAAACTGCTGTTTTTTTTACAATCAAGCAATTTATGTTGTAATAGTAGGATTCTGTATAAAAAGTTCATATTTTAGACACAGGTTCTGCTTCCCTCATGAGACCTATTAAGATGCACTGAGACCTTTGAGTTAATCCATTATTGTTAACAGCTCAATATGATGAAATATAGTTTTATTGATTCATTGAACACAGTAGCAGTAGCAGTAACAAGCATTTACAGTTTGATTGCAATATAGATATGTTGAAGCACTAATTTGTCAACTTTTAAACTTTACCTTTTCTTGCGCTTTTTTCCTAATCTGGATATCTTGTCTCTCTTGAGCAAGTTTTTCAGCCAGTAATGAAAACTACAGAAAAAAAAAGAAAAATTAGTACTATACAATACACAAACAGTGCACACGTTGCATCTGCGCTAATGACATTTGTCCTACTTGGTCTTTGTAGTAGTTTTCCATGGATTTGATGAAGTCTTCTTGCCTCCTTTGGTTCTCCAGACGCTGCTCTCGGGCATACGCTCTCTGCTCTATCAAACGATCTTTCTGTATCGACAAACCCTCCTCAAAAAGCTGCCGAAACATCTGGACACACACACAAACGGTCAGAAAATACAAATCATTTAAATAGCATGAATTAAAGCACAAGTATTAAATATATTCTCTTACCCGCTCCTCTTTGGTGCGCGCCCTCATCAGACGTGCACGGTGCTGGACGTGGTATTCGTTGTGGTATTTCTTGGCCCGTGCGATCTGCTGCCTCTGTTCTCTAAGTTTGCTCTGAGTTGACTTCTGCTGCTGGATTCGCTCTTTAAATTCTCTCTACATAATAAAATCCAATTGTTAATCAGTTGGCAAATGCAAATGAGCAACTTGTTTTCCATACACTAGATAAATTATGTTACTGCTTTCATTTTGCTATGTGCAGCACTTTGGAAACTGCTTTTGTTTGTAAAGTGTGTTATAGAGATAAAGTGGATTGAATACATTTGTACAAAACAAATGCATTATGTAATACAATTGTTTTGGCTGGAAATGACCCAACAAAGTAACTTAAAGGGCCATATTTGCATAATTTTCTGATCTATGTTATAATGTTGTTTCCTCATCAAAAACACACCTGGAGTTGAGTGTTGTTTCATTCACACATGTTTAAACACACAAACCCTGCATATTTAGTCTGATTTCTTCTTTCAAACAGAAAACACTCTGATAAACCTTGGGATGTCATGTTGTAACACAAGTCACAATAATCATTTGGATTATTTCAGCCCTGGAAATTCCAAATGAACAAAAGGTAAAAGGGTAGCTGTTAATTGAAAACTACCACTTCATGACATCACAAGGTGGAAGAAAGCATGTTGAGCTTTGGAGATGTAGACAGTCTAATAATAAAGGATTACTCAAACATGTGTGAGTGAAACAAAACAACTCCAGGTCTGTTTTTGGGGAGGTAGCTACATTATAACATGGCTTAAAGCTCACGAGAATCCATCCTGTGTAAAAGGCTCTATTCATGTTTACGTCACAAACAAGGAAAACATTTGGAAACATGCAATGACAACTTCCAGTGTAGTTACCGACACTGACTGACAAAACCCACTGAAGTAAATGACGTCAGACTGCATACGTATGTGCTGTTTGGAATCATCTTGAATTTGGTGCCCTCATCTCTTCTAATCGCAAGTACCCAGTGCGCTCGGAGTTGTGCATCAGTGGAGAAATTATGAAAATTGAGGTTTGATTGTAACTGTTGATTAGCCGAACATAACGGAACACTACAATGACATGGAGATGAAGAAAACTGGGACATTTTCTCATTTTTCCTAGATTTTGTCAGGCTTACTACCGTGAACAGAGCCTGGAAGCTGTCATCGCATGTTTCCAAAGGTCTTCCTGATTTGTGATGTAAGCGTGAATAGACCCCACAATTCTATGATAATTTTTTTTTTTTCTGTGGAATAAGTAATGTTAAAATTTTTATATTCTACATTGTATTTAGTAGTACAGTGAGTGATTTACCAGTCTCCTGCTGTGCTCCTGTTCCTTGCGGTTTATCTCCACCAAAAGGTCGTGCCTTCTGTGCGCTTCTTCCAACTAAAAGACAAAAAGAAGGATGCATGTAATAAGAGTAGAAATAGACGGTTTGGACAGGGTCTTTCTGGTCTCTGTACCTGGTCAGACAATTTGTTGCGCCGCTGATTCCTCGTCGACGACATGGCGTGAAGTCTGTCCACCTGCTGCATCTGCTCCTCCCACATTTGCCCCAGGACACGTGAGGAGATGTGAAGATGGGGCAACTCCTCAGCGAGCACTGGCAGCAAATCATTGTCCTTCACTTTCACTGGACACCAAAAATGTACTTTGAATTAGCCCAATGAGAAAGAAATGTGACAAAATAGAAATGGAGATTCAGTGATTCAGCTTGTTTCTCTTTAATGCAGCTCAAAGCACAAACGTATACATGCAGTCTACTTTCCCCACCCTCTCTTTCTATTGGTCAAACTCGTCCATGCTCTGAGTGATTGACAGATGGCTTAAACCAAATACCGTGTTGACATATATAACACTACAAGTTATTTTAATGCAAATTGTTTAAATCCAGCAGTTTGTAGCCCTTTGCTGCCAAGAGAAATATGAGATTTAAGTTGCCAAAAGTAATTTTCAACATAAATAAGATGTTTGCTTAAAGAGGGGTAATACACTTCTATGGGGTAAATATTTAGGAATACACAAAACATGTTTAGATCACCAGGTTACCTTTTATCGTTTTGAAAATTCAGAAACAACGTATTGACATGTTTCAGCTTTGATATTTGAGTCTCCCCTTCCTTTGCTCTCCGTGTTAAGTCCCTCCTCCTTCAGAGCACTGCATCACTCTAATGAAACTACTGCACCTCGCATCAGGTTTGTCAGGTTGTTGCTTATTGTGTTGTATCATGCTTTTGTATATTTATGGAGAATTGTTGTGTGGGAGCATAGATGACACAGGCTTGTGGGTTGAACATTGGACAGAATCTCATGACTAATTGTAAAGAGTATGAATAGGCCCCAGGAGAGATCATTAAATTACTCAAACATGCATGAATGACATCTAAAATGTATTCAGGTGTGATGAGGGAACAACATCATAACATGGTAGAAAGCAATTTACTCCCTCTTTAAAGATTGAATGTGGTCTCATACTAGTTGTAATATAGATCCATTCAATCGAATACAAATGTAAAACTGTGTCAAATATCAAATTGTGTCTTGTTTATGCAACTCCTTTTCAGTATCAATGCTTGTTTGAATATTTATCTAGTTTCAGTATCTGGTTTAAAAATGTGACAGCTGTAGAATAAACAGACTACAACTAACAGCCTGATATAAAGGTAAATTGACAAAATACAAGCACAGTATAAGTTGCATAAAAATCCGTTACATTTCTGAGTCACAGGTGTTCATGATTCTTCTTAACTTACATGATTGAGCTTTCCGGGGCATGTCGTGCAGCTTTCGGCTTGAGGATGGAGCAGTTTTTCGATGTGATCTGTGCTGAGGTTTCAGTTTCGTTGGAGTTTGTTTGTGGACTTTGGAGGCATCCTTCAGGATAGTCTCCCTGTACTCCCGCTCCTTCAAAGACACAATGGAGTAGTTCAGTAGCAGCTTATTTATAAACTAGCACAAGATCAGAGTTTATTTTAAACATAAAAACGACCTATTGTGGATTATATGTGCTTATTTTTATGGTCTGTTTTTTCTCCCTGTACTCATTCTAAGAAAAGCATCTTGCAGCTGTTGGCTACCAGTGTCCTGCCATAATACTTAGAGGAGTTGTGATGCTGCTGCTTGAAATCTCCCATCCTCCAACATGCATCACTGAAGACAGAGGGTCCGCTATAAAGAGCCTCTGCCTGCATTTAATAAAAAATTTTAAGAGAGGCAAAAAGCTATGCTAACTGCATGACATTATCCCAGACAGTTGTGTGTTGGACTAGTTCAAATTAAAATATGTTCCTGACTCATGGTTTGCAATCAGCTACAGGCCCTTTCACTCCATTCTGCTACACTAGATTTATCCTAAATAACATCATGTAGAAAGTTAATGAAAATAATCAATATCAATAATAAAAAGTACTCACAGCTTCCAGAGCTCGGAGGCGCGCCCTGTCAAGCTCCGCCCTCTCTTTATCTTCATACGTTTTCAATTCTTCTTGGTACATCTTGTCCACCAGGTACTGAGAAATATTGTGTTGTGAATGAGAGCTCAATCATGTGGAGGAAAACACTTTATGGTCTTCTTCATACCTTGCATAATTTCCTCTGGGACAGTCTGTGAGTTGGTCTCCCGCGTTCTGATTGGTCTGGCATTGTGAGATTGCTTTGTCGTCCATCATCAACAAAAAATGAGTCCTCCACAAACTCCCTTTGAGGTGGTCGCAGTGGAGAAGGGGAGTAGGCCCTCTGACTGCACTCCGGCTCTGGGTCAGGTAAATCTATAAACAATATTTCACGAGTATAGTTATTTTAATATTCTGCACAAAAACGATTTATTTATTACAGATGGTATTTTACAACAGAAAAATGTCACATATCCCACTTTAGGACAGGAGAGGGCACACCACTTGCCAAATTTAAGCAGAAGTCTCTCATACTCTGTCAACAAAATCACTGGTGTTGCAAAAAAGACAAAGTTGCAACATTTCGACCCTTAGCAATTTGCCTGATGAAGGCTAAGGGATGAAATGATGCAACTTTGTCAATAAATCAAAAATAATCATGGGAGCTGCAAGAATGACAGCGCGCGAGAGACTTCTTAAGTTTATTGCAAATTTCAAAGTTTAATTGAATGACAATATTTTCTGACAATCTCCCTGCAAACATTTTAATTTTGGCAATTTTATTCATGGGCACATGCTTTTTCTTTCTCACAGAACTCCTTTCAGAAAAAAAAAAACTTCATATAAATAACCCTTTAGAGGCATGCTGCTCAAAAAATTATTGTAAGTCTGAACCTGAGTGTTGCCGAGATGTCAAGGTCCTCTCCGTTCTGACCTCACTTGACTCCCCAGGTTCACAGAGGACACGCTTCAGCATCTACAAGAAAAAACATGTTAGTTATATTTAACACTGCCACTATACAACAAAACTCTGTAGTCTCACAACCTGATCAAGTTCTTCAAGACGATGGGAAAGATTCTCAGAAATGTTATGCAGTTCCTCTTCTGTTTTCTTGTTTCTTTGCCTGCGAGAGGACAAAGGCTGTACATCCTCCTCTTCTTGTCTTATAAAGGGGAAACAAACAAATAATAATTAAGCCAATAAATCAACTTTAAAAAGCGAAACATTATATTCTTACTTTGCTCTCCGTCTGTAACCAGTGCGCCTGTCCTGTATTTGTTGGTAGTAAACAGGGTCCTTCTCTGTGTCTGAGGGGGAAGAGTCAGTGACTCCTGTCTCATCCTGTAAAGTAAGCAAGAGGACATCTGGCTGGGTGCGAAATAAAACTTTCCTGGGGCCCCCGTTTGTGAGCTAAAAGTAAAAGAGAAAAAGATCAGACCAAATAAAATATTATGAGATTTTGATTTTTGTTTTACAGAGCAGACCTCAAGTGTTTGTTTGTCCAAGTCTGTGTTACTGTTTTGGCGAGATAAAGATCTTTCACTTAAAGCTGCAAACAAAATTACAGATATGAAAACATATTGAGCAGAATTATTACAATATCTCTATATTGTACATTGCCATGTACTAACCAGGTGAATGGGTTGGAGAAGGAGGGTCCAATCTCCTGTCAGGTACTATCTCTGGAAGCTATGTGATAAAAAAAAAAGGGGGAAATACAAAATGCAAAACATATACATTAAATTAAATGTCAAGTTATAAACAACTGAATAGGGAATTTAATCATGTTCACTGGTGCAGTAGTCCTCTGTGTCATGACAATACAATGTTTTGTGTACACAGAGGATTAAGTTACGCTCATACACAGGCTTCTATCTTCTTGCAGAGTCTTTTGTGTATGCAGTAACAGAAACTGTTCTTTGATGGTCTATTCTGACTGCTTCAGCACTATTCATAAACTGTTCTATTTTCAGAGTTTGTATCGGTATCGGCTACAATTTTTTTCATGCCTCCTCTCTTTTGTCTGTAGTTGAATTCACAATACAATGAAACTCATGCGTTTGTTTGCTACCTGTGCAGTGGTTTGGTCTGCTCCCTCCTCTGAGGGAGCAGACGTCGGGAGACTGGTAGACTCGGGGTGAGGGGTGTGGCTCTGGCTTGGAGGTCTGAGGGGCACGGCTGAGGGGATGGCTTCTGATTGTGGAGGAATAGGTGAGCATGAGGAAGGAGGCTCTGCTGAGGTGTGAACATTATCTAAAAGAAAAATAAATGCATCTCAAAGACAAAGACAGTGTAATACAGTGTGTATATGAATGAACAAGTTATGGTGTGTCAGTGCAAATCTCAGTTAATGACCTCACCATTTGTGGCCACGTCTTCAGGGTTTGGGGAATGATGCAAGTGGAGACTGCTTTGGGCCCCAGACCTGATAAAAAAAACAGAAGGTATTTTATTTGGCTAACTGCCATAGATGCACAAATAAGAAAAACATTGTTTTATAAAACAAGAGATTAGCTGTATAGACTTTTAAGACTCTTATTAAGGTTATTGCATATTATAGTATATAGTATATGTACTATATGGTATAGTAATTGGTTGGAGTGTTTGGAGATAATACTATAATGCATTTAATTTAGCCCAGGATAATACATGCCATATAATATAAAAGGCTGTTTTTTAAATATTTACTGGAGGGTTTAGCAGAATTAAAAACACACCTTGGGGACTGGCAACATTTAAACCATCAATGGACAAATTACCAGTGCTTTTCAGAGTGAAAAATGTGTCAGGTTCTCATTTAAAGCATTAGCTACTTGTAATAGTTCAGTGCTGTTTGCATTGTAAATTGTGGATGGAAACGTACTCTGCACTGGAGGACACAGAGGCTCCCTCCGGCTCAGGCTCCTTCTCTTCGCCCTGAATGTCCTCATTTGGACTATTGTTGGGCTCTTTTAAGAAAACAGAAACATAACAATATATATATATATATATATATATATGAATTTTAAAAAAATCAAAACTTTGGAATTATGATAAACTCATCAGCAGCAAACTCATGACCTAATCTAGTTCTAATAGAAGAACATTATAATGGTACATGGGTGGCACTGGTGATGTAATCATGCATCCAAGAAGGGCCACTGCTGAATCATTGTTTTAAAGCGCATTTATGGCCATCAAGTAAGAATTGCAATTTGAGTTTTTTTCCCCCCCAAGTTTGACAAAAGGCTTTTAAGAAAATAGACTGGACTTTTATAAATCTTCACACACTCTTTTCACTAAAATGTGAATTGGTTTAGCTCCCTTTGTGTTTCTCCTGGGCTAGGCAACAAGACAAAAATGAATAAATAAATAAATCACATGAACTGGAACTATGCTTCAAACCACATGCTTTCCTGACAGAGGATTGGGTACAGTACAAGACAACTACACAGTTTCGCCATATAATACAAAACTCACCACTGTTTTGTGACTCTTCACTGGTGTCCTCATTCAGGTACTCCAGCAGACCATCAAATATTTCCAAGAGATTTTTTATAGATTCTTTGTGGCCTCTAACAACATTTTCTCCTACAAATGAACACAAATTCAGAGTTATCACCCTAAGTTAAGTTTAAGAAAAGAAAAACAAACAATCTTTTACCTGTAATGTGTGAAAGGCTGATTTGTAGGTAATCCAAGGACAAAGAGTCGATCACAGACTGAACATTATGAATGTCATCCTCTTGGCAGCGAGGATCTGCAATATAATCTATCAAACAGGAATTATCATATATGAAAGGGTTTTATACATTTTACAAATAGGTCAGTATATTTCATGTTTGTCATGGACTTAAATTGCTGCTGGCTTGTTAATGCCTCCACATTCTTATGAGCTGTAAATAATGTGATTGGACGCATTCCTTACATACTAGGCACCACTCTAAGGTGAATGTCAAAGCTAAAGCTTAAGTTGAGTTAAACTTTCTTCACATTTATCTTAGTAATTCAAACATTAAACATTTGCAGACTTACCTGGAACTTTCTCTCCCAAGATGCTCTCATACAGAGAGATAAAAACATTTGCATCACAGTCTGTCAGTTTTCTCAGCCTCAGGTTCAGGTGACATTTGTTGAGGAGATCATTTGCCACATCGACGCAGTCTGTGAGAGTTACATATCAAATAAATTACATTTTATGTGATGGGAGATAATCGAATCTGCCACAAATAGTGTTTATTCATAAAACATTTACAGTGTTACACTTCGGAAAAAAATGAACTAATCAAGATTAAACACTGAATAAATGCAACAAAGTAGTATTTATCTCCCGAAGAAAAAAAGGAATCATCGCAAATTATTACATACTACGTTTCTACATGTTTAGGGTTTGTAAACATTACTGTAGTCAGAGGGACGCTGCTAGCGCTACCTTTGAATGCTACGTGTCGTTAGCTTTCTCCTTCACAGAGTCGGTTCTTACCTCTCTGAACCTCCTGGGTTCCCATCAAACTGCTCTCGACAAGAGGCAAAGGGATTTTTAAATAAATATATTAGCTCCTGTATGGTTTCCCAACGCGCAAATCCACATCAAAATGGTTTCACGGGCCCAGTTTGGTGTTTTTACTCTAACAAGAAGCAGGAACTTCTCGGTTCTCGTTTGAAAAAGAACTGTGCTCTGATTGGCTGCGACCGTTCTTTGTTTCCGGAAGTGACTTGGGATGCTTCTACACCACCCTCTACTGGACATTTCTAACACTGCAGTTTTTGAGTATTTCCTCAGATCTGATATGATTTTTTAAAAACACATTTTAAAAAAGGAAATTTTAAATAATAAATTAAGTCTTCCTGGACCTGGGCTCCTTCAGACGATAGGTTGCTTTACTGCAGTACTTTGTGCAGATGTTTTAAATTCATTGAACGAGATAACCTACATGCGTCAATTGCCCCTGCACGCACCATCCTGCCTTGCCATTTCCTAGTGGCGGCTCCGTAATGGGCGATGAAGCGCGCCCTACAGTCAGTCATGCAAATGTATTAAACTACTGAACATTAAAATTTGAGATAGTTCGGTAATATTATTCTTAAATGTTGACTATAAATAACATAAATCACAAGAAAATATATATTTAATCTGTTGCTTTCTCAATGCATTTTAAAGTACGCCACTGTATGGCTTGGGGCGATCTGGAAAAAGCCCACCGACACCAAAGTCTATGAGAGAAAGACCAATCAGATTCGAGCATTTGTGCGCCCAAAGCATGGATTTATTAAAATAAGGTGTGAGAGCGATTAAGTCTACAGCCATGGATCTATAATAAAACAGGCCATAACCCGAACCCCATAGTGACCGTGCTATTTGCTCGCCCCCTCACCCTGTAAACACTAGCGGAGCGTCCCCTATTCATAATAACCTATTCCCTGTTCGGTAAATTAAAACTAGTTACCATATAGCTTACTGCACAATGTGTGACAAACTCTCAATGAGAGTTTCTTGTTAATAAAATCTAAAAAAAAAAAAAAAAAAAAAAAAAAAAATATATATATATATATATATATATATATATATATATATATATATATATAATATATATATATATATATATATATATATATATATATATATATATATATATGTGTGTGTATATGTATATATGTATATATATATGTATATATATGTGTGTGTGTGTGTGTGTGTGTGTGTGTATATATATATATATATATGTGTGTGTGTATTATATTATATATATTATATATATATATATATATATATATATATATATATATATATATATATATATATATATATATATATATATATATATATATATATATAATATACTGTATATGTATACAACTTCCTGTTGGTCGGGGGGTGGTTCTCTCTCTTTTTTTTTCTTTTTTTTTCCTCGGGTGCAGCAGTAAATCAGTTGAGTTTACAGTAAATATAGCTCCATTAAAGTCTATAGGGTGTTCTGTTAACCCCCCGTGTAAAGACAATTGTGATAAATTCTTGTGCTATTAAAAAAAAATAAAAAAATAAAAAATAAAAATACATTTTATAACTATATATTTGGGAAACTTTTTGCCAATGAGCAAACTTCAGTTACACATGAAGCATACATTTATTCAGCATATATTCAATTCAAGGCTGATGCGTTCTAACCAAAAGTATAGAGCATAAGATATGGAGTATATGCAGGCCTAGTAGCAATCAACACTAAGGCGTCAAAAAATGTCAAGGTATTTTCATTTCACATACAAAGTCCTGTCTTTTATCACAGGGCATGTCATTCCAGTTATTCCCAGTAAGATCCATTTTCATTTCAACACAGTCTTCACCATACTCATCATTTGGTTCTCCAGAATACCAAAAACTGAAAATAAATAAATAAATAAATAAAAATGCTTTATAAAGGGCAGCAAAACCAGATATGAGGGAAAGTGAACCTTTGTTTGAGTAGGGATTCATCCACCCATTTCCAATCTCCTTCAGACTCGCGATCACTCAGTCCAATCCATCTGCGTCCCCCAAATATTCTAACAAAATCCTGTCCAATATCAAAATAACAACAAACTAATTTTTATGCAAGTAGCCTCTGTAGTACTAGTAACTGTAACCAAGTGCACAATTAACCTGTTCCTCTTTGCTGTTAATGACAATGAGATCAGCACCGTCTTTCTGACAGAAGTGTCGGCTCTCCTCCCAGGAAAGCTTTGCACTTGAACCATAATAGAAGCTTCCTCTGAAGTATGACCGGTCCTGCTCTGAAACTTTATTTAAAATAGATCCACATAAGAAGAATTAGTTTCCAAATGTATACAATTTTTTCTTCATATTTTTTTCCTCCAACTGTGCTGTGATTGCTGTTCTATGAATCAAAATAGACAAATCACTTAAATATGTAGTTTGGCATTGAACTTACCATTTTCTTGAAATTTCTTTGCATACCTCACGGTAAAGACTGAGGAAGACGACAGCACAGTTAATCTCTGGTCATTGATTTATATTGATAGTGTGCTAACCCTGTAACAGACTTATTACCTGATTGAAAAAACTTAGAAAAGGGTATTACTTGTCATATTGTTTCAAAATAAACCTGATGGGGAAACTGTATTATCATTAGGTACTCACAAGACAACTTAATCTTTAGCTCCTCTCTTTCTTCAGTCACATTGTGGTAACTCATGTTAAGGACTGAAAAAGACAACCACATATTCCCATTGATATTTCTTCTACAGTAGTTCTATACACTGGTATGCATGTTTGCATTTAATCTCAGCAGCACTATCTTGGTTAAATAAAGGCCAATAAAATAAATTATATGGCCAACTTCCTGCTGGTCAGAAGGTTATTACTACACTATATACCACAATTATATTTTAGGCTTGTTAGTGTGCTCCATCAATCAGCTTCCATGGCCTTAAAAAACATGTCAGCTTTCTAATGGGTCATCTTCCAGGTAGTGCTGTCAAATCATTTCATCTTGGTAAAATAATTTCCTGTTGGCCGTGTCCCATTCACCCACTTTGCCAGTCCTGATATTCATACCAATTTTGGTTACAAAAAAGAATACATCTTACAAGCTGCTTAAATTCAATTAAATAAAATATCTACTAAATTACAAATTTATTCAGTATGTTAGTGCCATCGATCTCAAGAGCCCTTTGCTTTGCTCCCTTCAAACCTGTGTGTGCTGTAAAAGGTAGGCAGCACTACATACTTTAGCTGTCCAGCTAGCTGAGCTCATCAGCTTTTGGCATGTCGCTCCTGTGGTGTGACCGTCAAAATAGATGAAGGTTTTACTCATGAAGTTTCACGTGAATAATTTTTCTGTAGCTCATCTCTTTCTTCAGACACGTTTTGGTAACTCATGTTACGGACTGTCAAATTGACAACATGGACTTTAATTAAGTGTAAGAAATCAACAAAACCATACAGGATGAGCACACAACTTAAACTCACTAAAAATGCTTGTATGTGCAATTCAGTCGAAAATACGAAAGAGTCCCTTTTTCACACGTACACTAAATGTCATAAACGCTAGTGACAGTGGTGGTAGCGATTCTACCAGCTTCATTATTAAGTCCCATTGCATCCTTGGGCAAGACACTAAACAATATTTTGTTACATATTTTTGTTCTACTCACAGGAATTGAATGTTTCCAGTTCCACTTTCTCTTGCAGCAGATGTTGGTTTTTAGCAATGAGAACTGTGAAAAGTAATTACTGTCAGGACCATATCACACTGGGAAAGAACCACAATCTATTGATAATTTTATGCTAGATTTTAAGATTTTATGTTTATGTTATCAATCATTATAATGCTCACTCACGTGAATACATTTTCTGTAGCTCAGCTCTTTCTTCAGACAGATTTTGGTGACTCATGTTGAGAACTGTAAAATGAACACCATGAAAACAATCTATATGTAAGGGCTGCATATAAAATACACTGTTCCTTCCATTATCCATATGTACTGTGTCAGTGGTGACAATAAACATAATACATAAAAACATTAAGTATAAGCAGTGTTGCTTAGGTTACTTGGTAGTTACTCATTATTACTTGTGTAATATGTTATATTATTATGTCAGATATTACTTAGTTACTGCTTCAAGGAAGTAACTTAGTTACAACTTTTGGATTATATTGTATGCAAATTTGTATAAATTATATATGCTGTGTTATGTTTTATCAAAGACATTTAAATTTGGTAAAATAAAAAAAAAGAAGGTTGTTTACAGTGTTTCAAATGTCATCACACCAACTATAAAAATTACAAATACATTATATCACAGTAATCTGTTACACTACTAAAAACTGTGATCCAGTTACTAAATATCTGTATCTCTGTTACACCCAACACACCAATAAACAAATAAAAATACATAAATACATATAACTGAAATGTACTCACTTGAATAGAGTTTCTGGAGCTCATTTTTCTCTTCAGATGTTTTTGTGTTGAAGCTTTCAAGGTCTAGGGAAGATCCCAAATGACTTCAATCAGTATCTAGAACTGGGGTATTTATGGAAGGTTTTACTCCAACACACAAAAACAAGTACTCACATAGACGGAGGCCAACATTGAGAGAAGCCTGTAAAATACACAGGAGTCCGAAACTGACTGTGACCAATCGAACTGTTCTTGCTCCTGTTGAAAAAGTTTTGTGCATCAAAACTATAGTAAAAATAAAATATATAAATTGATTTGCTTTGACCTGAGTCTGCAGCTTCATCCTCAGTGTTGGTTTCAGTGGCTCTTCTAGAGCTGGTTCTTATTGACCTTTTATTCTTGCGGACATACTTAGATGTGTTGTCATAGACATTCATCATTCTTACTGCTAGTTTCCTCTTTAATCTCAAAAGGGAACCTGTTCTATTGAACTATTTATAAAACACAGTTACACATTTGAAACCAAGAAGCTTTAGTTTTAATGTAAATTTTACATAACACAGCATATTAAAATACATCCATTCATTCATTTACACTTCTGTATATTATAGACCAGAAAAAAATAAACTTAGTAAGTTTATTTTGTACAGTAAGTAAGTTTAACTTACAGTATATTGGTACAAGCAACCGGCTTTGTCGGTTAAAGCAGAAGACCAAACAAGTGAGAACACACCCTGTGAGAACAGAATACTGATAAAAGGAGACTATGTTGTTGTTTAAAAAAAACCCAAAAAAACCAACAACTTTATTCTGTGTTGCTGGTGTATGCTGTTTAATCTTTTAACAATTTTATCAAACCTTTGCTCTTCTTTGATAAAACTCTATAATGAATAGTCTATGATTTTCATGTTGAAACTGTGGACTTGAAACAAGTCCTATGCGAAGGGCTTGGTGGGTGGCTATCATCACTAACTACAGTTCAATCAATGTTAATTATAAACTTTCACTTTAAAGAGCCATTTTCTTCTCACAAATCCAGTAGGTTTTATTTTCACAGTTCAAGCTGCTCCATGTATCTTCTATTTCAAAGAGCATCCCTTGGACACAGTCTTTATTTCCCTCGCTAGGTTCTTGAGGAGCCCAGTAACTGAAATGTTACAGATTTTAATTCATTATATTTTCTCAGCTAGAGATTATCATTCCTGAATAATATTCATGTGAAAACCTTGTGACTAGCGATGTATTGTCCACCCACATCCATTGTCCCTGTGAAATGCTCCTCAGTCCGATCCACATGAAGCGATGAAACCTCCTTGTGAATTCCTTTTATGAGAATAAATTAAAGAAACAATATTATATTATATATCTTTATAAGACATTTGTTTTATTGTGAATGTTCAAAGGCTCACTGGTGTATATGTGAGTGAATAGTTATGTGATGTGAAGTGCTAAACATTTAAATATTGATTTAAACCCATGAATATTTAGTCAGAATTTTTTTCTAATTTATGCATTAATTAAATTTCAGTGTGCAATGTTTTTCTCATGCTACCAGGCTATAGGCTCTGAGTTCAACAGATTTTCGTTATTCATTCTTGCCTCATTCATGTCTTTATACCTGCTCATCTTTGCTGTTGATCACAATCAGATCGCTCCCTCTCTCGTGACAGAAGGTTCTGCTGTCCTGCCAGTTTCTCTTATCAAGTGAAATGTAATAAAAACTTGTATTGAAGTACACCCAACCATTTTGCAAATACTGATCTGCAAATACATTTTCAACAAACATAAAAATACAAAGTATAAATGACTATATTAATAATTAGTGTAATTCTTACCTAAATCCTTTTGTTTCTGAACTGTGAAATTGTTACAAATCCCATCTGGATCCAAAATACTTGTATCAGAGTCTGTTACAGCAAGAAAATTATTTTAGTGAATTTTAATAGATTTTTAATAACATAAATGGACAGAAGGTGTAAAACTTACAGAGAAAAATGCGCAGTGTAACATTCAGGGTAGCTTGAAGGATGCACAGTAGTCCAAAACTCAAAAGAACCAATGTTAGCCACTTCTTATCTGTCAATACAAAATGGTGTTTTATCACAAACATATTTTTGTAAAATTTTCCTAAATCTTTCCAAGCTAAACTAGGAAAAGACAACGGAAAATCTTTTTACATATAAACATATTAGTTCCAGTTCCAATCCAATCCAACTTATTTGCATAGCACATTTTATAAACCAAGTGCTGCACATTGTGTATTTGTAAAACATTCAACTCTATAAGTCAGCAGAATTATGTTCTGCTGACTTCTGCTGAAAAAGATAGATACAAGAGATTAAAAATAAGAACATCAATGAATAAAAATAATAAATACATAGATAAATAAATAAAAAATAATAAATACATAGATAAATAAATAAAAAATAATAAATAAATAAATAAATACAAATAAATAAAAGACACAGAGGACCACACAACTGTAGTATTTAAAGCCAGAGAATAAAAGTGGGTCTTAGACAAGACTTAAAACACTCCACTGTGGGGGCTGTTTGGATGTGGCTGTGGAGAGTGTCTTAGGTCTTTTCCCCTTGTTTTAAGTCTCATCTTAGGGACCATGAGGTGGAGCTGCCCCTCAGACCTCAGAGTACATGTAGGGGCGTAAGTCTGGATGAGGTCTGAGATGTGGGACCAGTTCATTCAAAGCTTTAAAAACAAATAATAAATCTTAAATGAGGTTATGTGATCATGCTGTGCAGCTGAGTTCTGGACTAACTCCAAGTGATAAAGTGCATTTTCATGGATTCCTGTGTAGAGTCAAAGTGTGCATGGCCTGTTGTAAAAATGTTAAAAGATAGAAAAGGCGAAGGTGATAAAAATTGGTTTTAACAACAGAAGTGACCTGCTTATTAAGTTTAAAATCACAGTCTACAGTGACACCAAGGTTCGTGGCTGAGAGAGAAATTTTTTCCTTAAGGGACCCATGTCAGTTTGGGGCTAAATACCAAAATTTCAATCATGCCCTCATTAAGATTTAAAAAACTATGCGCCAACCAAGCCTTGACCTCACTCAAGCACTGCAAGAGGGGTATCAGGGGGCTGCTGCCATTTTGTGGTATGTCAGTTTGGCCAATTTGGTCCTCTGCATAAACACGGTAGGGCATCCCATGCTTTAGGAAAATTTGACTCAACATGAGAATATAACAGTACAGGAGAAAGAATGGAACCCTGGGGGACTCCACAGTGAGGTGGAGGTGGAGTACCCCATTCTAACACAGAATGATCCCCCCAACAATTAGGACCTGAACCAGTCCAAGGTAAACCCCCTGACACCAACACTTTTGGCTTCAAGATGATTTAAAAGAGCTGCATGGTCCACTGTGCAAAAGTAAGTGTCAAGTCTAAAAAAAAAGAATTATAAATTCATTATAAACAGCTAATTAAAATGATTGACTGATTTAAATAAATCAAACATATGATGTGCAATTAAAAATAACTGCAGTTGAACCAAAATATGCTTTTCAAGAATCTTGGGCAAAAAAGGAAGCTTTGAGCTCTGTCGGTAATTTGAAGTTTTAGCTGTGGTTTTTTAGTAGTGGTTCAACCACAACTTGTACACAATCTGGGCACTGTCCCAGAGGTGAAGCTGCTATTTACAATTTGCTGGACATAGGTTGAAGAAGTTTTGACTCCTTTATCTTTGTTAGATTCAGCTGTTTGTAGTACATATTTATACATTTCTATGCAATCTCACAGCAGCTAGCTCAGTACCCCCTCTATCGCCAGTACTACACAGACACATACAGGAAATGTAGTACACACAGACATTTTAGCCTATTTGTTTACACTAAATGAGATGATTTAGAACTCATGGGCTCATCAATAAATGGTAGAAATGAGCCACCAGTGTTAGTCTCACCATTGGAGGAGATTGGAGGAGTAGATGGCGCCTTGGGTACATTGGCGTATTCCATGTTGATATTTCTGCGTGCCATGTTCAGCTCCACACTGAGAATGTTTTGTACTGGAAGTGTGAAGTGTGAAGAATATTTGGGTCAAATGTTGTGACTAATCAGCTTCTTCTTTTAGGTTTCTAATGCAACTTGTGGTCACTGTTTTCCATATAGCATTGCAACATGCATTGTTTTGGATTTGTAACAGAACAGTTACACAACTCAACAACAAGCACACTGGTTTGTTCTTCTTTGTATTGTGTTTTCAAGTGATATATTTTTGGCTAGCACTCTCACATCATAGCAAAAAGGTTCTGGGTTAGATCCCTGGGCCCAAGGCCTTTCTGTGAGGGGTTTACATGTCCTCCCCATATCTGAATGGGCACTCTGGTTTCCTCCGTCAACCCAAAACATGCATCATAGGTTTAGTCCTCCAGCAAAGGTGGTCTTGACCAAGCCTAGCAACTGCTGTGGAGAAGCCTCAGCTGCACTGAAGGATGGAGCATATGCAAAAGTGTCAATAAATATGGGTATAATGTTACTGTTACAAATATTGCTATTACTGAGGACTTTATTAAACTCAGTGTACAAATTTACGTTTCAATGACACTGCAGAAATGAGAAGAAATGTATTTTTTGCCCACAGTTCCCCTTTCCCCTAAACACTTTACTGACTGCAGTAACTGAGAGAAACTTCCTTTTTTTTGTAGAAAATTCATAAATTGCTACATAGATGACACAATGTTTGTGTCATACCAAAATACCCCAAGTACGCTATAGTTTATATTGTTGTGTAGTAAAAAGACGATGATGATTGTTTTACCTGTTTTGGTGTGTGATTTGGTCAAGAAAGTATACTTTTCAAGCTTCTGGATGAACTTAAATGAAATATATTATTCTGGATCCTGACTACCACTAATTCATTAATCACACACCACATTCATCTGGACAAGGTGGGTGGTGTCTTACCCGAGGACACAATGTACCTTGATCCGAGCCAATATCCAAACCACCAAACTATGGGTGAGAAGTGTTAGAGATAATTACTACAATGGCCAAGAATTAAAAATAAATAAATAAATAAATAAAATGAAAGTAACATTTTGGGTGAATGTCAGATATACATTTCCAAAGAAAGCATAATGAACTTTATCCTTTGCTCAAATTTGACCAGAATACTTACACATATCTTAAACACTCTCTGTTCATTTATGACCACTGCATGTATCCATGTGGTAATGTGCCTCACACACACACACACACACACACACATGTTGTAATGTGTGTGTGAGACATTCTCACAAAAACAAAAGGGAGAACCCAGACTAAAGCCTGAGTAGATGTATAGAGTAACAATGCAGATAATGGAGATGGAGTCTACTTATGTTAATGAACCACCCAGACCAAGGCCCATTCGCCAGTCACAACTCTTTGGTAAGAAAATATTTGGTGCCAGACATTTGATGTCTAATTCCACATTTAGTTTTTTGAAATTCATATTTTAATTGGCAGTGTTGGGATGTAACTGAATACATATACCAAAAATACATATTCAAATTGTTACTGCATTCTAATGCAGTTATTCTTGAATTTGATAGTATTCAGAATACAGTTACTTTTCTAAAATCAAAGGAATATGTTGCGGTTTTAGTAAAGAAATGAGAAAACACAACTTTAGTGATGAGTGCTTGCACAATTTTTCTTTCTCCAATCAGTGATAAATAAATACAAAACTAACAGGAAGTTGTTTTTAATTCTGTTTCATGTTTTTACACTATAATATAATGCAACTCAATAGTATTCCAAGTAGTCAGAATATACTGTACTCTGATCGACCATGTAACAGAATAAGTTACAAAATACATTTTAATGCAGATATTCAGAATTCTGTACCTCAGTACTCAATATTTTCAACCTTTTCTTCTCATCATTGTTTATATTTCTTTAGAGGGGCTTGCTAGATTTTTTCCCCCTTTGATTGTGTAATTTTGAAAGAGCTGCTTTGAAATTACAGAAAGGAAATGGGTAAAGATTCTTCTTTTGAGCTTTGGGCTCCTGTGTCTCATACAAGCCACTCTCAACGTCACTTTGCGATTGACTGGTGAGTCTATAATTTCACTTTTCAAAAATGATAATTTAAAATGTTTTTCTATTTTATCTATGTTCAGCCAACTGTGAAAACACTGCCACTGTAATGGAGACTCAGAGCTCACCCCCATGTGAGGCGGTTACTTACAAAACAACACAACAATGCAACAGTCTACAAAAGAGAGTCAATACTTTGGCCAGAGACAAGAGCAGGCTGAATGATCAAATCAGTGAGCTAAATAACCAAATCCAAGAACTCAATAAACAAAAACAAGAGCCCAATAAACAAAATCAAGAGTTTAATAGACAAATTAATGAACTCAATAACAAAATGAATGAACTTAATAATCAAAAGAATGAACTTAATAACCAGATTAATAGACTTAAAGACCAAATTAATCAACTCAGTAACCAGATTAATGGACTCAACAGCCAAAACCAAGAACTCAACAAACAAAAACAAGAGTTCATAAAGCAAATTAATGATCTTCATAACCAAATAAACAGACTCAATAATCAAAATAGAGTGCTCACTTCCCAGATTGAAGTTGTGACAAGAGACCAACCGCAGAACAACCTCAATGGTAAGAGCACATAAAGACAAAACCTTTTGTTTTATTTGTGTTACTGCACCAGAAAAAGCTGTGACGTCTCTTGCAGGTAAGTCTATATGTCCAGCCAGCTGGAGGGAAAGAAGAGGCAGGTGTTATTTTCTGTCCAGTGAGAAGAGGTCTTGGGAAAGAAGCAGGATGTTCTGTCAGGACCATGGCGCTGATCTGGTGGTGATCAATGATGAGCAGGAACAGGTACTGTGTCTGTTACCTCCAGTATGTGAGAAACCAATGGATTTTACCTGAGTTCTTGTTCAACAGAGGGATCTCCATGGAATGTATGACAGTCCATATCTGCTCTTCTGGATCGGTTTGCATGATTATACCAGCCGGGGGACTTTCAAATGGGTGGATAATACTCCTCTAACTGGAGCGTAAGAGAAATCTTTCTTTGTTTTTGTTTTTTCTTGTGGCTAAAGAACTGTCAATTGAATGTTTTACTGCAAAACAATTTAACATCTCTCTCCATACACACACATCGTGCTTTGATGCAGATTTTGGCAGGCTGGACAACCGGATGCTGGTGGACCCAACAATCAAGAAAACTGTGTAGAAATGTATTGCAAAAACCCAGTGCTTTCCAGCTGGAATGATGCCCCCTGTGAGCATTTACTGCAATGGATTTGTGAGAAAGCAACACGTCAGTAAAGTTGTACAGTTGGGGCCTTTGGAGCAATACTTTGGAGCCCTGCTGCAAAGTACCTGTGTTTTGTCACAAATGATGTAACAATTGTAACAAATGTTGTAATAAAAAGTTTATTTTGAGGTCATAATCAATCATGTATGTGCATATTGAGCTAATCGCAGGTAGCTAGGGCTGTGTGACTCACCTCTTAATACAAAGGGTGGAAAGTGTTGACAGTCATGATGAGCAGCAACTCTTTGGATGTGGTGGATATATGTTGACACCATTATGAAAAGCAGCTCCAAATAAAATTTGTTCAGAAAAAAGGCAATTTTATTTTTACAATGTTGAAATGTTAATGTGACAACTTCATAGGCTATTTATTATTGTTTGCCCACAAGAGTAAATTGGTTAGGCCTATTACGTACAAAATCACAAGAGAAACTGTAAGCCTATAGAAAACTGAAAGAGAATAAATGGAAGAGAGTGAAATTTGGCACAATGACTCTTCAAAACATCCTAATCAAAAAAGTTGACAGAATTAAATTTTCTTTTACTATGGAACCTACAGTACTTGGAAAACTGGTTGGAATATACAGAAATCTTAATTAGGTTTCCACTGCAATCTACTTCTCAAAATGACAAATTAACACAAACACACATTTTTAACAACTTTCTGGTTTATTCGACATTGATTAATGTTCCACAAACAACTTGTTAATGGGGGATTGTTTACAGAAGTTCTCAGTTTGTAAGAAGAATGAACAACGTTAAGGTCTGTACCTTAAAAAGAAAACTCATACATTTTAATTGTGATCTTTTTTGATAGTTCCTAATGCTCCGTCTACTATGGGCATAACATGTGTTTTTGTGTATTATTATTTTATTTTTGTGGATCTTGTGTTTTTATTAATGACCAATGCATGATCAAAATGCAATGTCATCCTTTGTAGCTATGATTTTGTTATAGCTGACCCAAACTAGTCAAATTTTAAAATGTTGTATATTTTATTTATTCTTAAATAAACACATGGTGCCTTTATTTAAACTTCCTAATAAAATTTCATTGGAAATTATAATCCTAGTGTCCCATATATATGACAAAATAAAGAAGAATGAAGTGTTCTCTTAATGTAACGGCAAAATATTATTTCCTTTTTCTAGTAACATACACTGTTAATCTGTAAATGTCATTTTAAAATAATTGTGAATTAATCCTATTCAAATTTGTATTTTCTCTTTTAAATTTGTTTTATTTTGGAAGAACTGGAAAATAAATTAGTGCCTTGCAGGGGCTTTAGGTTTAGCAAATGTTAATGCTGCCATCTAGTGGCTATAACTTGTTATTGCGCCCGTACAGATTGTCACTCATGTTCAAGTACAAAACATTTTATGTATTGATGAATAATTCACACAGGTTTTAAGCCACATGCTCTTCCAAAAGCAATTGTATCAATTTAACAGTTTAGTTCAAAAATAGGACAGCAACTGCCTATTATGTTATATTTTATATTATATTGCGACAATAAAAGACAAACTTGACTTTGACTTTGACTTTGGTGTGTTCATGAGATGGTGAGCCAAAGACACATTTTCCCTATGGTGGACAAAAATATGAAGGTATTTTTATTCTTTCTACAATCATAATATTTTATCTTCTCACATCTGTATCTTTTCTGAATCACATTTGCTGTTTGAGTTTCATTTGATTCTTCTTGTTGTTTTTCATATCAATGTACACAGTAGAAATGAGAAGGCAGATCCAACAGCTAATCCCAAAATAAGGAAGGAACTCATGAGCCAACTGTCCTTTCATCTTTAATGTGAACAAGCCTGCAGAAATAACAACACATGGTTAAAACTCCTCTGACCCTCTCCTCTGCATCCTCTTCTTCATCTGCTCTCTTCTTTTAAATTACATTATACTGCAGACTTATGTTATCAGTTTTCTCTTCTAGTATGGGGTATGCTAAAATATTTTGATCGCTAAGTCACCTTTAATTGTTACTGTATTCACCAAAAACATTGTACTGTATTGTACAACATGTCAGTGTGCATCCCACTGATGAAACCACTGCACATCGCATCAGGTTTGTGACATTGCAGTGTATCATTATTTTGTATATTTATGGAAAACTGAAGCATGGGTGACGTAGGCTTGTGGGTTGAGCTTTGGGCAGGATTTGAATAGAGCCCAGGAAAGATCGCTAAATTACTCAAACATGCATGGATGACATAAAATTGCTTCAGGCATGTTTTTGATGAGGGAACTATGTGATAACATGGTAGAAAGCTCCAAAAACTGATTCTTCTTTAATACTTTGGAGCATAGGCCATACACAGTGTTGCCAGGTATCCGTTGGTGAAGGAGAACAATGCCATCAGGAGGAGGAAAGCAGCATCATGACTGAACAGAACCCACAGTCTGGAGTCTGGAATGTTACACATCATCAACAGGGCCACAAAAGCAACACGAGACACGACCAGAGCAGGGAGCAAGTGGCTGTTTTTACTGGGCTGAAAACAGGACAACATCAGAATCTTAGGCTAAACATTTTTTGGAGTTTAAGGGGCCTATATTGTGCTATTTTTTTTTAATCTATGTTATGTTTCCTCATTAAAAACATACCTGGAGGTGTGTTTTGTCTCATTCACACATGTTTAACACACAAAAACAAACTGCATATTTAGGCTGTGTTCTTTTCTTAAACTGAAAGCACCCAGTCCCTTCTTGTGATGTCATTAAGTGTTAATACAGGAAATGCTCCATTGTGTTTTTAAACTCTAAACACCTTCACTAAGACAATTTTGATTATTTGAGCCATGCATTTGGATAATGTTACAGCTACGGTTTTAGCCTCATTGAAATAACTTCACCCCTTGGAGCACCAGCAGACATGGCAATTTCAACTGTACAAAAGGTAAAACTAAAATATTCAAAAGTTAAAGCAACAATTTAAAGAAGAGTAAAGTAGTTCCATTGGGGCTAAAATAGCTGTTAACATTAAAACTATCATTAAATGACATCACAAGGTGATACACTGCATTTTGAGCTTTGGAGATGCAGACAGACTAATATTCCAGGATAACTCAAACATGTTTGAATGAAACAAAACACAACTCCAGGTATTATTTTGGGAGAGGTAACAGCATAATAACATCACTAAAAGCTTACATGAGTAATTTTTTTATGATTATGAGGAAAAATAGTGTAATTTTCAATGATAATAATCAGTTTTATATCAATAACCTATTTCTTCTGCATACAGCTCATGCACTAAAAAGACTAACCGTTTTTCCAGCTGATCTTCTCACAGCCGCATGCGTCACTTAAATATTTTCACTTTCAAATTATAGTTTAAAACAAATGTAGCAACACTTACAGCACATGTTTTGGAGTGCTTTATTTTTAGGACTGGACACTGTTTTTTACCTTTGCTTGGACAAAGCACAATCGATCAATAATAGATCAGCCTAACATGTCTTTAGTCGACCATGAATTTCTTTATAGTTGACTATAACCCCATAGACAGTACGACTTTCTACATTCTGCTGTGGTTCATATAAATCCAAATAAAATAATTGGTTGACTAACAAAATCAACTAATGGACTAAACGACTAAAGGACTCTAGCCTAAGACTCTAGCCTCAGTGACTAGTTCCTGCTCACAGACAAACACTAGAGTGTGTGCTCTAAATCCAATATGACAGAAAATTCCCTTTACAGACATGTCAGTGTTTCCATTCACTCACTGGAGGAGGTAGAGGGTGCTGCGTCTGGCCATATCCATGACATTAAAGACCATGAAACAGCAGATTCAGGTGAACACATTGGCTGTGTGAAAAACAACACAATCACAGAAAGTTACTTATTATACATTCAAACTATCAGTTGGGTCTTTTAATCCTTTGTCAAAAAAACATGTAGTATTGTCACAGACTTTAGAGGAAGAAAAGATATGATGCCTTTTATTTTTATTTTTTTTTAAAGGAACTGTACTCTGTACTTCGTAGCCTGTGCTCTTACTGGTTTAAAAAATTTACTACAGTCACAACTGAACCTGGGTTGCCACAGTACCTTAATCTGCAAATAAAGAACACATGTTTTTTTCATTCTCTGTATGGACATTCCATACTTCATGTGAAAGCTCAGCAATCTTTAATGACTTATTTTCAAGATGCCATATTGCTGATTGTTATGGCCCCAGGCCTTAGTTCAAATTTGTTTGTGTGATTTTTGCTAATTCTCCTGATTCCTGAAGCAGGGGCCCTGGTCCGCGATTGGTGGGGCAGGTCGACGCCCACCTCACCTGCAGCCACCGTCCCCTATTTAAGGAGATTACCAGCACCCGTTCGGGGCTGCTGGCCTTGGTGGCCAGTCTTTGGTTTCGTGTGTGTAGTTTAGTTTAGTTCTGTTTTGTGCCTTTTTTGATTTGGTCACTCGATTCTGTTTGTGGGTTTATGTGGTTTAATTTGGGGAACGTGTTTTGGTTTAGTGTGTGTCCCTTAATTTTACCACTCGTTTTTTGTCAGCCTGCGTGACCCCTTTTGTGGCACAGAACTCTATTCTGTTGTTCTGTTTCTTAGTTTAGGTTGTTTTCTGTATATTTTAGTCTGTTTTGTTAATTTACCTTTTACCTTCCTGTTAATTAAACATTATTTAATTTATTCCATTTTACATCTTGGTTTTATTTTTGTTACTTCCCTTACCCAAACGAGCTGGGTCGTAACACTGATCAATTTCCATTTTCACTTCCATCTGCAAATGGCCACTGCTCTGTAATTACTTTGTTCTTCAATTTTATTTTCTTAACCAGTGATAAACACAAGTCTTGTGTAGTCATTTTGATACAAATGAAAAAAATCTGCTGCTCGCTAGTGTGATCTGCATATATGTATATATCGGAGGTGTTGACTCTTTGTTGTGATGACATTTACAGAGATGTCAGCTCCCACTGGAGAGTTTTCTAACATACTTGTTTGTTTTAAGTTGTTTTAGATGAATATTACAAATTAAAATGTGAAAATGATAACAGAAGTGTCATAAATTATAGCTACATAGCAGACACGAGCAGAATAGGTCTTCTTTAAGTCAAATTAAAATGTTATCTCCTCAAAAATATTAGAGTTGCATTTTGTTTCAATCACATAT